GGAGAAGTGGATCTCGATGTTGACCGGTTTCTAAAAGACATGGAATCAGTAATGAAGCGTTATGTCCCAGAGTCCAAGGATGGTGATGCTGAAAGTGAAGAAGAGGCATCTTCATCTGATATGGAGTTTGGTAAGTTGCTCTTTTGGCTGAACTTCTATTTTCTAGCTACTTGAACTTGGGGGAAAAATGCAGTTCTTAATTCTTATACATAGGAATAGTTGCAGCCGGTAACTGAGTTCCTCAGATTTTTGGGGGCCTTATCACATTGCTCCCGTGAAAGAATACTGAACTAGAGAATATCCTGAACATTGAGATAGATACTTTCCTAGTTCAGCTCACCTCTTTGTACCATACAATTGGGGAACAAATGAATGGGATAGGATTAAGTTGCTTCAACTCTCTAATTCTAGACATGTTGTGTGCCTCCTGACTGAATCAACAGCTGGTTTTGTTTCTAGTTTGTTTGTTTCTGTTTCTGTTTTTCTCATTTCATATCCTCTTGTTGGCAGACGAGTTGGATAGCGAAGATGAAATCATGGCACCTGATGGGGATAATGAGGATGGTGAAGACAGGTTCTCGCAGTCCTACTCTGCTGCCCTGAATCAGGAGCTGAAGAACAGCACTGTTAGCAAAAGCTTTGTTCAGGCGGATGGACAAACCTCCAAACCAAATGAGGTGAGTTGGCCGATCTTTTTCTATACGCTGCTTGAAGTTTAAGTTTTAGCGTTTTAACACACAGACAATTTACTTAAATTCGATATGAGCAGGGGACGTCGAATGTTCCGGAGGAAATGGAAGAAGATTATAGCCCTGTAGATGTGGACTTCAACCTGGTGAAGAACCTGCTGGACTCGTTTTCGTCTCAACAGGGACAACCAGGTCCAGCTTCCAATTTGCTGGGACTCATGGGTGTTCATCTGCCGGAGGATTCCAGCAAGGGGAAGTGACAATGAAAGCACAATACATAGGGCTCTTGGTAGAAGTTGAAGGTGATGTTGTTTGCTTTCTATTGGTTGGTGTTGTGGTGTTTGGGGTCTCGAATATATTGCTTGGCTCCATTCTCTTCTTTCTGTCCCAACGATGAAGCCGAATGTGCCCGTGAGACGGAAGGGGTGGATTTCGGGCATCTTATTCTTATCTTTACTGGTGGCATGGCCGCATGATAAGAATCAAAACCTTAGTATGTGCACTAGCTTGAGTCCGGGAAGATTTAGTTTGTGCTAAAAAAAAAAAAAAAAAAAAGAAGTCGTGAAATGATTGTGTATCATGAATGTATAAATTAAATGTTGGTATATTTTAGTGACGAAACGTGTCTCATGAACTATGATCATACATGAGCCATTCGTGTATGGTGAATTGGTGATATAGAAATAAATGATATTGATATAATTTAGTAAATGTTTGGACAGATTTCACTTGAGAACATATGATAGTGATCATACTTTGGAATCTTATTTTTCGACATATATTAAAATAGATATCAATATGTAGGTCTCACATAATCCGATTATTTTCGCACAAATATATAATTCGGAGTTGAAAATAAATAAATAAATAAATACGGATAAATTAAGATTAATAGGAGAATAAAAAATAAAAGAGATAGAGTGTGCTAGGTGGTACATTTTAATTTGATATAAATTGAAAAAAAAGTTACTCTAGATCCATGACTGCAAACATAATAAATTAAAATGAAAAGGAAAATGTATTAAGAAAAATTCTGATTGGTTGGAAAGGTGCCGACGAGAATGTGTAGGATGAACAGAAATTTGAATTTGTCAAGCTTTCAATAAAAAAAGTCTTTAGATACTATACGTATAAGATCATGGTTGTCACGTCGGTGGAATGTCGGTTGGTTAAACCTAATTTAACTGATGTCGTTCATGAAAACAACAGAACACCATTGATATGATCGATGTGATTGAGTTTTGGCCTACAAACAAAATGATATCGTTTTAGTGAATTTAATTAATGAACGTTGAACTTTGGATTTCTTTCATGAATTTAAAAGTTAAATGTAGTTGTTATTTGTTGGATTCAAGTATAAAAATTTGGGTTGGAAATTAAATGTTATATTTAAATATGATTACTTGTTATTTTATTTGAAATGTTATATTTTATTTAAAATTTAATATAGATTGTAAGTAAATTGTCTTTGAATATGTTTTCTATACGCTTAAATTCATTTGTTGGCTTCAAGTATAATAGTTCGGATTTTTACGTTAAATGTTATATTTAAATATGAGTATTAGTTATTTTGTTTGAATGTTATATCTTTTATTAATAATTAAATATATGTTGTAAGTAAATTATCTTCGAATATGTTTAAATTTATTTGATGTTAATGATTTTTCGTATGTCTATATTTTATTAAAATGACATGAACCAATACAAACCGATTGTACTACTAGTTGAACTATGCCACTTGTTAAACCAACACAAAAGTATAAACCGGTTTGAGAACATTGTATTACACATTTCATACTTGTTTGGGAGTAGAGTTGGCGTTCAGTTTTGGTTTTTCAATATCAGGGTTTTTATGTTATTAATCCTAAATTCTTTTGCATTTATCAATGTCGATTTAACTGAGAAACAAAATGAAAAAATTTGAACATTACAAAAAAGAGCAACGGAATTTAAATTAAAATAAAAAACTGTCAAATCATTTTTGGTTCCTTCAAATCGAACCGAATCATTAAGCCCCTTAGTGATTTGGTTCGGTTTCCAGGGGAATGGTTAGTTTTTTTTGTCCCCTTCTCTCGGTCAGGTTTGGATTTCCCACCCTCAAGCTGCAACCGGCCTTTTGACTTTTCTATTCAGCCAGGTCTTACACTTCTTAGTTAATCGAATCATAATTAATTGAGCATATTTTAAGGAATTGATTAAGCATTTCATCAAGAATAGTTTTGAGTTTTGAGTTCAGTCAAGTCTTAACCACTTCGACACTTCACCAAGAATTGCTGATTGAGCACAAACACATAAAAAAGTATATTAGTAAAAAAACAAAATCAAGAAGTGGGCTATACGTCACACCCACTGAGTAATAAATTATTTATTTCCAGTCAAACAAGATTAGATATTTGTTTGTTATGATAAACCATATTTTCGAAATTACTCAGTTCCACAAACAATCTATAATTCTCAAAAATTATAGATTGGATCTCATAGGCTATAGCATTATTGGTGGCCACCATACGATTTTCTTCACTGTGAAAGAATGTGAGAACTTAACTTGAGGAATGCACTATGCTAATAATGGTAGATTATTATTAACAGTAAGTGCATTTTACCGTTTATTCCTCTAGTCGGTGGCGAGCCACATGATAACGACGAATGCCGAGAGACATCGACGATGTCTCTCAAGTGCTTCCACTTGCACGAGTTGCAACAATGAAACATAGACAGTTCTGCACGTGTTGCGCGACAATCAATTATCTCGTTTAAGTTAGATGCAAATCATCCCTCTTTTTGGGCGCCACCAATTTTTCAAACCTTTTTATTTGGTCAGTTACGACGATACATTCGACATGCTATAATTATCTAGGGCTTTAGAAGCTGCCCGATAGAGATTGGGAGGTTGTCATCTCCCACATTTATCGTGAGAGTAACAAGTGTGCTGACTTTTTAGCTAGTTGAGAGAATTCTTTATCGCTTGGGTTTCATATTGTGTGTGTAAAACAACCTATACTACACCATTGGATTTTGAATGATTCTCATAGAATCAAAATCCTGGTTAGTCGTGAATGAAAGATATGTACATCCCGGTTAGTTATGAATGAAAGTATATTCTGAGCCGCCTGTATCAAATTATATAAAAAGTAGTTATTTGTTTATTTTTAGTTAATCAAGTGTATTAATGATTAGGAATTTAATTTCAAATTCAATTATAAGTTTAATACAATAATTGAGCTAATAAACATAACTTACATAAATATGGTTTGGGTGAAGAGAGAACGAGATATGGAATCAGCTGCTTCCGTTGACTGAATCTCGCCAAACCAACGTTGTCAACCCGGTTTATATCGTTGCATCGGTTTAGCAAGTAAAATTGTTTGACAAGTGGTACAAGCAGCTTGTGCTAGTTCATATTGGTTTAACAAAATATGTAAAAATGTGAAAACCCATTAACATTAAATGAATTTAATCATATTTGAATAAAGTTTACTTACAATTCATATCCAAATAAAATATGACATTTTAAATAAAATAAAAAATATTGATATTTAAATACAACATTCAACGTGAATATCTAAATGTTTATACTTGAATCCAACAAATAACACCAACAAATAACTTTTAAATTCATGAAATAAAGAATAAATTAATTTTTTTATTAATTATGTTTACTAAAAAAAAGTTATTTCATAAACCGATCATACTCATCATGTCAAAAGTTCATGATGGATTCATAACCGACACCGGCTGAACCGCACGGTGTGACAACCATGCGCCCAAGGCCGAACCACCTAGAGATGACAATTTGAACCGCCCCGTCGGGTAATACCCGAACTGACCCGCGATGGGGCGGGTATTACCTGACCCGCAGTAGAGTGGGGCGGGGCATGGGTATCAACTTCCGACCCGCCCTGTCCCGTCCCATTTTTAGCCCGTTCTAGGTCAATTTTTTACTCCATCCATTCATATATCTCCTACTTTGGCTTTTATTCAACTAGTTAGACTTGATTTTCAACTAAATAGACTCAATTACTTATTATATTCATTATTATTCATTTATCAAGTCTTTTCCCCTTCGTTTTATCATAAAAAGCATGTATTTTTCTCAAATAGCATATAAGAGAGGGTGGACCTGCCCCGTCCCATACCCGCACGAATATTACCCAACCCATACTCAGGTGAGACGAGACATGGATATTGAGATACTCACCCCGACCCATTGCCATAACTAGAACCACCAATCCGGCAACCCCGGCATAAGCACAGCACTATAAAGGGAGAGGTCAGCAAACATATAAATATCTCACTCAGCTTTAGCAGCCTTCAACGACCCAGCCAATATTTTATTCAAAGCTCCCTCTTAAGTCTAAACCGCACTTTGCTCTTCCCCCCTTCCCCACGCTCTGGCTCAGGCTCTGCATCTCTTCACCCTCCGCGGACTCTTCTCGTTCGTCAGAGTTTGAACAGAAAAAGATTTCTTTTCAAGGTACTTGGCCCGACCCAGAAGCTCTCTTCCCCTCATATTTTCCTTCCCGCGTCCCATTGTTTCTTTGTTTCTGATCTACAACTCTCTGGCCTCAGGCTTGATCAGAAGCAGATGGGAGATATGGTTTGTCCCCCGAGGGGCATTGATTTGCTGAAGAACGAGCTTCCTGTTGACCAGGAAGCTTTTGTTCTAAACGGTGATGTTAAAACTGGGCTTGTTATGGTCGACTTAGTTAACGGCTTCTGCACTGTTGGCGCTGGCAACTTGGTAAGAATTAGGAATCTGCAAATTTTCTTTCTTTTCCTTCCTTTTTCTGTTTTCCAATTGAAGTCGGATCCCCAATTTCCACAAGATGAATCGACGAGTTCTTTGGGTTATTATTAGGCTCCAAGGCAGCCTGACAAGCAGATTTCGGGAATGATTGAGGAATCAGTAAGGCTTGCTCGAGCTTTCTGCGATAAGAAATGGCCTGTGTTTGCTTTCCTCGACACACACCATCGTGACGTTCCCGAGCCTCCTTACCCGCCTCATTGCATCGCTGGTACAGATGAAGCAAATCTAGTTCCTGGTAATTCTTTCTTTCTCGCAGTATTTTGTTTTTAATTGTGGCGATGTTTGATAATCGAACCAGGGATGTTGAATTGCGAATGTGTTTCTGGGTTTTTTGTTTCTCTAATTAGGCTTAGTTTGTTCACTGTTGCAGAACTTCAGTGGTTAGAGAATGAGGCTAACGCTACGCTGAGGCGTAAAGATTGCATTGATGGGTTCATTGGTAGTGTTGAGAAAGATGGATCCAATATGTTTGTGGATTGGGTTGTGAACAATCAAATCCAAGCTGTAAGTAGCTTTTGATTTTCTTCATTATGCTTGTTTTTTTTTTTTTTGTGGGTGACCTTTCTTTCTTATAGCATTGTCTGACATTATGGTTGGTACTCTGGCATATATGAAGATATTGGTGGTAGGGATATGCACAGATATCTGCGTGCTGGATTTCATTTGTTCAGCATTATCTGCCAGGAATCGTGGTTTGCTTTCCCCTTTGCAAGATGTGGTTGTTTACTCTCGCGGTTGTGCAACATTCGACCTTCCTGTTCGTGTTGCTAGAGCTGCTAAAGATGTTATAGCTCATCCGCAGGTATTCTCAAAGTTCTCCATTTCTTTGATTTGGTTATCCTAGTTTTGAGAAGGCAGTGAATTCTTGAAGTTGATCAATATTACAAGAGTTGGCCAGTGTTGAAATGGTTTCCACCCAGGTCCTGATGTGATTGAAGCTATAATTTTTTTCATTATTAGTAAGGCTTATGTCTCTATCGATTCCTTAACTTAGACAGCTTTATTCGCTTTTTCTTCCAGGAGCTGATGCATCACATCGGCCTATACATAGCAAAGGGGAGGGGAGCCAAAGTAGTATCTAAGGTGACATTTAGTTAACTAGAAGAGCCTGAGGTTTTTAGGATAAGAGCCTGAGAGTTTCTATTTCATGGGCAGATGGAATTCATGTGCTGCCACTGATGCTCATATATGTGTGTCTTTGATTTTAGTTACTTCAATGTTCTTTATGTTGTTGATAGTTTAGTGCTGCTTAAATCGTCTTTTCATGGATCGTTGAATGCGGGGCAAAGGAAAAGTATCATGTAATTACCTGCAAACATTTGAAATTATTAAATCATGTTTATCAGCAAACAGTTGTATCTCTGTTTGATGAGTTGTTATAAATGGTGTCTCTTTCTTCCTCTGTTTTTACTTAGTCTTATCCAATCACAAGGGAAATTAAATATAAGAAATTAGATCTGTTTCGGAACATCCAAAGAAGCATTGTCAATATTCTGAAAATTCTCCATTAAAAACTCTGCAAGTGTCTAAAGTACACAGAATATCCAGAAACAGAATCCATGATCTCTCTGGATAGACAAAGTTACATAATGAAAGAATCTACAAATACAATACACCAAGAAAGGAGGGGTGAGAAAATGGGAAAAAAGAAAAAAGGAAGATACATTAATCATAGATTTAATCCTGATCTGAATCCATTGTACTTTCTGTGGAGTACTGGATGGACGCAGGCAAAAATTGAATGCTTCTGCTTTTTTGGTTTGACTCCAAAAATGAAAGATCTCAAAGGAACTCGAGCTCGGCTCTCTGAGTGTTGAAGTTGGATATTCTGGCGGTTCTTAGAACCAGAAAGCTTGAATTCCTCGTTCAATTTGGCCAGTGTTCTCTCAACCTCAAGTTGTAAGGTTGTCACATGATCTAACCCTGCTTGCAATTCATCTGCAACTTTGTTGTTCTCTTGCTTCATGTTTAGAATCTCACCTTGAAATTTTGCAGCCTGGTAGCTGGTGAACTTGAACTCTTCATCTTCAGCACTCTCCTTGAGAGCTTCTTTGATATCATCCTGAATCTCACACAAAGCAGAGAATCTTCCTTTGAGTTCATCTTTTAGCGTCATACCTTTCTCAATCCAAATTGTTAACTCAGCATGGATCTCTCTTAGGTGCTTATACAATGGCTTTGCATCCGATTTCAGACTGTACTTCCCATGGCTGCTCCCTTCTTGCTTCCCCAACTTTTCCTCCAGTTCAGACAACTCAGATTGTAAGTCTCTGACTTCGGTCTCAAATTGCTGCACCTGTTGAAATGTGGTGCTGAACCTCAGCCAGAAATCCAAGTTATCCTCCAAAACTTCATCAATGCTCGACCGAAACCTCTCTTCAATGGGCGAGATTTCATCATCAAGATCCAGATTGAAGTCGTGTAATATATCCGCCACTGTGAATGGTGACTCAGGTTGGTCATCATTATCTTGCTGCAAGAGGCTAAGTTTTTTCTTCAGCATTCGAATCTGTTCGTCCTTTTTCGCGTTGGCTGCCTTTAATTCTTTCAGCTGGATCGTTATATCAAACAAGCTATCCCCTCCTTTAGTCTCTGTTTCTGTGAGCTTCTTTTTAACTTCTTTGTAGCTTCGAAGAATGGTCGTGTACTCTGCAAGAAGAACTTGTTCTCTATTCTCCACACCTTTCAGGAACAGCTGCTTCCAATCCGGTTCGTCGTCTTCACTCTCACTTTTCAGTGATGATGCATTGTCTTGTGTTTGAGCACTATTATCATCAGTTGTTGTTGCTGCTTCTGTTGTTGCTTTTTTTACTTGTGTTTCACCACTAAGATCAGCTTGTCTATTTCCTGTTGCATTTTCTGATGCATCAATGTCAACATTAGCGACTGCAGCTGCTGCCACTTCTTGTGTATCAGCACTACGCATTTCGATTTTCTTCGAAGATATTTGTTTTGCAACAGTTTTCTCGTCGCTAGAATCCTCTGCAGTGTTATGTTGTTGTTTCTCTTCAGATTGAACTCCTTGTGAATCCTTCATCAGCAGGCTACCAAGATCTTGGTTACCAGCAACTGATACAGACTGGTTCAAGTTGTCATCTGGTTTCTGCACCTGCTGAATTTCTTCTCCTCTGGTCAAATCTGCATTCTTTCTTTCTTCTACTCCTTGTTCATCACCAGCGTCAACATTTGCTGCTGCTGCTTCTACCTTTTCTTGTGTACCAGAACCAAGCTTCTCGAGTTTCTTCAAAGATTTTTGCTTTGAAACTGCTTTAGCATCCTCTGAAGACTCATCTTCATATCTCATCTGGGTTTGAATTTCTTTCTTCAGATCATCTCCCAACAAGCTCCCAAGATCTTGTTCTTTTCTCTCTACCTCTGTTCCGGTATCCCCCAACATTTCACCAATCGAAACGGAATGAATCGGTTTCTGCTCTTCTTGTTTCTTCTCGTGTCCAATTTCCTCTCCTCCAATTTCTTCTCGTGTCCAATTTCCATCTGTTGTTTCAGCAACATATCCTTGATCTTCTGTCCTCACATTTGCAGCAACATTTTTTACTTGTTCTGCAACTTGTTCCACTTCTTGTTTCACGTTGGCAGTTTCTTCCATGGACTTCTTGTCCTTTTCCTTCTTTGGCTTGTCCTTCTTTTTCTTATCTGAAATTCTGACCTTCTTCCTCGATTCCCTTGCCTCCCTTGCTTGCCTAATCTCATCAGCTACTTGTTGCTGCTTCAACTCCCTCTGACTTTTCTCTTTGTCTTGCTACAACCACATTAGATACAGACACACAGACTTAATAACCAAACAATTCACCACGAGGTTTAGTAGGAAATCACTACAGAAAAGCCACTTACTTTCACCGAGTTATCAAACTCAGCAACTGCATTCCTTATGTTCTTCCCCTTAACAAATGGCTGCTGTTGGGATGATTCGAACTTGGGAGCTTTCTTAAACTGCTGCCTTGGTGGAGTCTGAACTTCCTCATCTGGCTTCACGCTATCCAACTTATCATGCAAATGATCAAGATTACACTTTGCTTCCATGAAATTCGTCTGTAGGTTCGTGCTTTGATTTTCAACATCCTCATTCATCTTCTGAATCCCTTCCAGCTTCCTCTCCAACTCCTCCACCTTCTCATTCTCCACCTTCTCTTTATCACCACTTTCCAAGCAACTCTGGATCTCACCATTAAGCTCATCAGTCTCAGCCTTCATCCTCTGAATCAACGCAGATTGAGAAGAAACCGCTGCTTCTAGTCCAATCACCTTGTTCACCAACTCATCAATCTTTTCAGCCATCTCACTAACAGTGAAAGATGAATCAGCACTCGCCTCAAAATGCTTCTTTATCTTTTCCCTCAATACCTCGATCTCCTGCCTCTGCTGTTGCAAAGCTCTCATCTCCTCCTTTTCTTCTTCCTCTGTGGCAGCAGCAGCTGTCGTTGCAACATCGGAACTGCTCTCCTCCTCCTCCCTCCCCTTTCCCTGGTCAATTTCTCCAGAAGAGTTTTGATTCAGAAGAGACTTGAGCTTATCCTGGGCTTCCTTAATCCTCTTCCTCTCCTTCTTAGCCTCCTCGGCCGACTTTTCCTGCTTCTCCTCCAGTTTCGCCAGAGTCTCCTGGCACGATTGCAGGGCAGCTGACGTCATCACCGATCGTGCTTCATCATCATCGATCACCGTTTCGGCGCCGAATTCATCCTGCAAGCTGCATGCTTTATCCTGAATCTCTCTAATCTGCTGATCAATTTCCCAATATTTCGCCAACCCGTTTTCATACGAGCTCTTGACAAACTCTTTCTCTGTCTGTAAAACCAGAACCTGCTTCTGAAGCTTGTCGATCTGTTTGAACGCTTCAGGTTTCGACATAGTGGGTTTTGGAGCAGCTGGAGACGATGATGAGGTTGTCACCTTGATCGATTTCTTGGGTTGGAGTTTTTTAGTGGCGGATTGGAACATGCCCTTTATCTCTTTGGGGAGCTTGGGCACTTTTGGGATGTTGCCCTTGGGGAGATCGCCGGCGGCGGGGAGTTTCTTAAGGAAACGTGGGGAAGGGATGTCGTCTTCATCTTCCATTGCCATCTGGACTTGTTCGGGGAAGACGTAGGCGATGGTGTTGTTGGCATTCTGAAGCTCGGTGGAGATGTGATCGTAGCGCTCGGCTAATGCTCTGTAAGCTCGGTAGGATTCTTCGACGAAGATGATGATCTCTGGCCGTTTCTTGTAGTACATTTCTGCCCTCTTGGCGAAGGAGTCTCCATCTTCTGATACCAGGGCCATCACGTTGTGCACCTTTTCTTGCATATCTAGAAATCCATTTCAAACATTTCTCATCACTACAAAGGAACATGTTTTCAGATAATATCAAGATCAACGTTGGATGATTATTAGCTAAAATTTAGCATACACTAACATGTTAAGGCAATAATGGTGAAAGAAACAATGCAGCGTGAAATTTGCAGAAAAAAAGAAAGAGAAAACATGTTACGTTTTCAGGAAATGTATCAAAGTTGAGGAATGATTTTGGATGAAGGTTGTAATGGTTATGGTACCTTGAAGGTTTTGCTCGAGCCATTTGGATTGTTTTGTTCTGATGTGGCTGGCCCACCACCATGAATAAGCATTGCCTGCAGCTCTCTGCAACATTGTGTATCTTCTTCTTCTTCCTCACAGGCCCTTGTTTGTTCTTCTTCCTCAGAGGCACTTGTTTGCTGGTTTTTTGGGTTGTGAAAACGTTAACACATAGTGTTTGTTGTTTTGTAAGAATCAATGTGGTTTACATTTGGATAATGAAGAACATGGAAGCTACTACTCTTTCTTTTCCTTTTGTCTATTATCATGAAATCAGGGGAAGGATATCCAAGATCTAAGATAGACATGGTACCCATTATCCATTCTCTTGTCTCTGTTTGTTTAAGGTGGAGAGAGAATGGAAAAGAAGTGGAAAATCAAAGAGAAAGAAGAGCAAAAAAGGAAAAGTGAAAGAAGTGGGGGGAATGTGTGGAGTTAGAGGTATTCTGTTTCTTTCTTTTCCTTTTCCTTTCCTTTTTGCGTTTGCAGCAATGGCTGTCTCCCTGAGATGGTGGCTAGGAGCGAATTCCGCCCTGTCAACTTGCTCTTCAAACTTTCTTCCCAATTTCTCAAATGAAAGAAGCCTACGAGCAAATCCTATCACTCCACATGTCGTCCAGATCTCTTCATTGAGCCAAAGACGGCTTTTCCCGGCTCATTATGGCAACCACTTTTCAAACTTTTGTATGTATGAATATGATACGAGTCTCTTCTTGTTTCTCAAAGAATAAAAAGCTGCCAATTGTTTTATTTTGGAGACATTAGTTCTTTCATGCATGTTCAAGCGAGAGATACTGAGTCACATATACATATCTTTTGATGGGATTAATTTATAAGAGGAGTTTGAAGTTTGAACAACCAGCTGCTGGTGCATTAAAGAAATGGAAATGAAGATTTTTTTTTCGTGTTTAGAATATATGAGTAAATAAAATAAAATAAAATAAAATAAAAACTGGACCTCCCCACCTATCAGCCCACCATTCGAATTGTTGTGTAGCATGATGAGGTTTTATTATAATAATAATAATTGTAGTATCATGAGATTGGTTGTCGATTGGCTATTTTAAATAATTTAAAACTCTTCCCTTTTGACTCGATTGCATCCTTGACAATTTATCATAGAATCTCCCCGGTTTCGTTCTACCTTCCTCGCCATTCTTCAATCTCACAATGAGATTATGGCAATGTGTCTCGACGATTAGCGGCTAAAGACCTTTCTCCTCAGCTTCATAAATGCTCATTCATATAATCCTTGCTTTTGCTTCTTGGACACTGCATCAACTCTTTTACGACGTGAATTATTTTTCATTACGAAGACTTCATCCGATGGCTTGCTTCATCATGGACAATGTCGGCGAGACACATGCATATCTGAGATCAATTTTCTTTTGAGATTCCACATAATCATCCACTCGGCGGATAGCTCGCTGAGACACTAGAGCGGCGATATCACTTTTACTAGTCGGAGAAAAGTTGTTTCCTTTTCCATGCGAAAATTTAGGAATTTATTGAGAGCTTTTAATTTTTGTTTGGTATTTTGTATTTTATTTTATAGTTTCATAGCTTAACTCTAAAAACAGGATTATTTTTTAATTGTCTATTTCACTCATATAGTATATATGCCAATATTTCTTCTAAGCTTTTGGATGATAGAATTATATTTTCGGTGATTAATATCTTACAATATATTAAAGGGGTTTGAAAAAACTAGGGATGGCAATGGGTCGGGTCGGGGGCAGATAGTGCATATCCGTTACCCTACCCAATGTAGTTCGGGTTTTACCCATACCCGTACCTACTCGAGACACTGGTAGAAAATCAAAACCATGCCCATATCCGTTCGGGTTTCGGGTATCCACGGTTATCCATGTAATAATTTCTCCTTATAATTCCAACCAATATGTTAACATTCACACGTATACTCACATTGTGTAAGAGGAAAAGTACGACAATAATTCACTAGAATGACGAAAATTAATTAAAACAACATAATTTCATGAAAATATTATATTTATATGCTAAATATAAAATATTCTAGAGAAACATAATGATTATTTCTAGACAAAATACATATGCATGTGTATAATCGGACGGGTTCGGGTTGGATAGTGAGATAACCATGCCCACACATTACCCGCAATATTCGGGTTCGGGTTTTACCCGTATCCACGAAAAATGCTTCGGTTTCGAGTTTTACCCTACCCAATTAGGTCGGATTCGGGTGGATATCCACGATTACGAATATTTTTGCCATCCCTAGGAAAAACCACCCCTTCCACGTAAGCTTTCCAGGCTTCCCCACGTTTCTCGGCATTTAGGGGTATTTTTTATTTTTTAATATTTTTTTTTCTTCCTGACTCGCATTACCTTCTCCTTTTTATTGTGATTTTGCTATTTTTTAGTTTTCCATTAAGGCATTGAGAGAGGAGGGAGATTGGAGATTGTGGAGATATGGAGAGAGGGGTATTTTTCTACAAAATATATTAAGGGGTTTCTCAAAATCACCTTCCCATTCAAATTTTCTCGTGCTCTCCGCAATGTTCGGGGTTTCCCTTAATTTTTTTTTCTCAAAACTTTCTTCTACAACATTTATCCATATTAATCCCTTTTTTATTTTTATTTTTTTCACACACGTTTTACTTTTATTCCCGTCCCCTTTTAACGAAAATATTCTGGAAAAAAAATTAGGAAAGGGGTCTCCACGTAAGTTTTGGAGAATTCTCCACAGGTTTATATTTTTTATACTTTTTATTGTTATCCATTGACTTGTATTATCCCCTACTAAATAGCAATTTATCTTCGAACCAACAATTTTGTATGTGTCAAACTTCAAATTTTTCTTAACTTTTTTCTCAAGATGTGGGCAAGTTTAGTTTGGAAAAAAGAAAGCGTGCAAGTTTCTATTGTTGTACAATTAAACTTCATTATGTTAATAACAGTTTTTAAATTCGAACCACGAAATAATTTCTCAAAACCACTAATTTATATTAAGGATTGTAAAAACATTTGGGTTGGATTGAAAAATCAACGGTAGAGTGTATGTATTAATCGTGGTTCAACTCATTTCATAACATTAAAAAAACCTGCCGATTTAGAATATGATAGAAGGATTTTTAGGTCAGTCGCCTACATGGTACGATTTTAGACACTAATTTATCACCGAAAGAAAATATAAGCATCTGAAATTCATAGCTTATATTATTCAAAATGATGGATTTGGTTATCTTCCATCATAAAAAAAATTCGATTTCAGTATCTGGATAGATGTTAGTTGAAACATCTGTTATTGATTTTTGTACATTGTATAAAATAATCAATTTGAATATTTAGTTGACAAATCATTACATAAGAAGCTAAATTGAAACTTTTTTTCACAGTATTTAGATTGAAACTTGATATCCTCAAATAGTATTGCACTTCTTTTTCATCATCCTCAAAATAAGATGAACATGTACAAAAGGCAGACTTAATCGCAAGCCAATATTCATCGAATATAATTTGATTGTCTAACTTCTAAATGTGTATTGTTTAAATCAAATATTAAAAAATATAGATTAAATGCTAATTGCTTAGTTTTTGAAATACACTATTACTTAGTTATGATCTCATAAACATATAAGAAGCATAGTTAGTAAAATACGGTACGGGAAAGTTACGTAAAAAATACGTACGGGTATTATACTTGGTCTCTAAGCTAAAGTTACGTTTAATAGTACGTTAATAGTCATAAATATATAAAATTAATCATTTTAAAAATAAATAAATATGTAAATAATACTAAAGTTAACAATTTAATTCATAAAATACGGATAATAAACGTATTATACGGGTTTTATACGTGTTTAGTACGGGCGTCATCAAATAAATGGGGGAAAATGAAACGGCTTGACAATAATACGGATACGGAAGTTTTAAACGGATAAAGTACGTACGGGTACATATACGTGTATTAAACGGAGTATTTACTAACTATGAATTAAGAAGAGACCACAAATGTGTTCTTGAAAATGATTATTAAAAAACGTAAATGACTTAAAAACTTAAAATAATTAAAATATAATGATAAATTATTTGATTGAGACGTGAAATTTACCCGGCCAACAGGCCGGGGATAAAGCTAGTTATTTTTTAATATATTTTTTCCTTCATGACTCCCGTTACCTTCTCCTTTTTATTGTGATTTTGCTATTTTTTAGTTTTCCGTTAAGGCATTGAGAGAGGAGGGAGATTGGAGATTGTGGAGATATGGAGAGAGTAGAAAAACTATAAGTTAATTTATTGTTTATTATTTATAATTATTAGTTAGCACTATTTATCATCCATAAGAAGTATTTATTTATTTAATTAAGAATAATGGTTTACTATTTACACAAAAAAAATTGTTTACACATTCAATTAATAATATATTTTTTTTACTATTTATAATTACTATTTGTTTTTAGCCATGCAAAATTTAAGAAATGTCAAAAGACTTTTGGATTTGATCCAATGTTACCTGGGTTGGGTTCTCACGAAAAACTATATATATATTTTATGAGAAAATTTTCCATGCGTAAGTTCTCACCATAAGCTATATCATAATTTCAATATCTCGATTCTCAAGTTTAGCATAAAACATATCTCAATTACGAAGACATTGACATTTGCTATGTCAATTTTATGAATTTATCACAAGTTCACAATAAGATTAATATTATTCGAATGTGTTTTATACTTCTTAATCAGTTGTTGATATTGAGTAAATATGAGATGAATTTAGGCTGAATTATATGCTAGCAACATAAATTTATAATTGTCAAATCAATTGTGTCAACTTAATATATTATGAACTGAAAAAAAATATGTTTGTTATTATTATTAATATTAAAAGTTACCTGGCCAATGCCCGGGAATAAAGCTAGTTATGATTAGGGCTGTTAATGAGTCGAATCGAGCCGAGCTTTGTCATAGTTCGGGCTCGGCTCATTAATATATTTTCAAGCTCGAGCTCGGCTCGTGTTCGTCACGAGCTTTAATCTGCAAGCTCGAGCTCGACTCGTTTATGAAAATGAAAGCTCGAGCTTGACTCGAGCTCGGCTCGTTAAATAAGTTTAACGAGCCCAAAATCGAGTTCACCTCATAAAATGTTCATGATAGCTCAAGATTGACCTAGAGCTGAGCACAAAATTATATTCAAACCTGTAGCAAAGTCTATCAAAGTAAAACACAATATTTATCCTAATTTCAATACATAATCTATGAATTCTAATAGTTTTTTTTTTTTATGTCAAACCAGTAAATGAGCTTGTTCGCGAGCTTTCGAGCCGAACATGGTATGGCTCGAGTTCGACTCGTTTAGTTAACGAGCTTGTTCGCGAGCCGGCTCGATTAAGACTAATCGAGTATCGAACGAGTTTTTCTCGAGTCGGACATCGAGCCGTTCATGAGCGGCTTGGTTCATTAACAGCCCTATTTATGATATATTGCTGAACTCCGATTAACAATAGGGTCTATAGCTGTATGAACTAGGCGAAAAACGGTAAGGCTAGCCCATTTGCTAATGAATATTGGGCCGACTTGACCTAGTCATTCAAAGCCCAACCCATTTCCAATTGTAACGGCTAGTTTTCACAACTTTTTTTTTTTTTTTTAAATCGTACAAAGAAAAGCAAATCAGATTCAGCGGTTGTTCGAACGAGTACCGAGTAGGCGAGGTACTGACGCTCGCAATATTTCAAATCCAAACGAACATACTCGCTCTTCCCCTCACTCTCTCACTTCTAACGGCTCTCTCCAGGAAGTTAGAACTCTGAAACCCCATTCCCCGCGCCCACCCACTACTATCATTACGGATTCTCAACACTCAGTTTTTCTTCGCCAGAAGTAATTCTGCCATGGCGAAGGTCGCCTGATCTCCACAAACAGGTACTAGTTTCTGGATTCTTTGATGGGGTTCTTTGATTGCCGTGAAAAAATTTGAGAAGAAAGCCCCTTGCCCTTATATTTCTGTCGTAAAGATGATTGCTTTTACATGCCGTCTTCTTGCTTCATTCATCTTAGGGTTTATTGGGGGTTTTATTGATTCTCCTCTTAGGTTTTCCTACTTATGTTCAATCTGCTTCGATTTTGTTACATGGGTTTGGTTGGTTGGTTGATTGGCTTCCTAGAAATCCATGAACGTGACCGGTAAAAAGGGTTTCCGTGGCTGGATATTTTTTTTCATGGATTTTCTCGGAATCCCAATTGGATTTAAGTGCATAGATTTGTGTAATTAGAGAATAAGTAGAATCCGCTTCGTTATCCCATTTGAATGGTTAATTGATAAGTTTTCTTGTTCAGAACGATTGAAAACAAGAAACCCCCCACAGTCCACAAGTGAAGAAATGGAGAGACTCTGCGAAGAACTGGATGAAGCCAAAGCAGAAATCGAGAGGCTGAGAGGAGATTTGAAGAGCAAATCGCAGTCGTTTGACAACTTGAAGAGATCCCACAATGATCAAATCCGCCAGCTTCAATCAGCACAATCAGAGATCGAGTCACGAACCCACGAAATCAGTGCAAAGGAAGGGCAAATTCAGGAGCTAACCCACGAAGTGGGAAAGATTCAACGCACGTTGAATGAAAAGGAGTCCATTGTGAGAGGGCTGAGCTCAGCAAACGACAAGCTTCGATTTTCTTCTGATGATCAGTTTCAGAAATGGGAGGAAGAGAAGAGACACCTGATGGCGTCTCTAGATGAGGCAAATGAGAAGGATATAGATCAACAGCAGAAGATCAATGTACTTAGGGCAGAGATTGAAGGTCTCAAAGGGATGCTTTCCACTTCTGAGAAGAAGTGTTTGGAATCTGAAAAGCAGGCCAAAGCAGCTAAAGCACTAAGAGATAGGGATGATGTGATGATGACATTGGAAGAACAGAAGATGAAGGTTGAAGAGAAGCTCAAGTGGAAAAGTGAGCAGTTCAAGCACCTAGAAGAGGCGCATAAGAAGCTTCGATTTGAGTTCAAGGAAAACGAAAAGGAGTGGAAGCAGGAGAAGACTCAGTTAGTTGATGAGATTTGTTCACTTCAGGAGAGCTTAGATTCTCAGACAAGAATTTCTCAAGATCTTCAAAGCCAGTTGAAGATGTGCAACCATGCCCTTGCACGTGAAGAGAGCCAAAGGAAAGCGCTAGATGTTGAGGTTTCTGACTTTAAGAAGCGTTTCGAGAATGTTTATACTGACTACCAGGATGCAAAGTCACAGCTGGAATGCTTGACCGCACAAAGGGACAATGAAATTGCAGCTCTCAGGCATTCACTGTTGACAAAGGAGACACGTTGGAAAGAAGTTGAGTACCAGTCAAGAAAGCTCGAGCAAGAGAATCAAGAGCTGCTGGAGTCACTCAAAGAGCTACGAGAAGCTCAGATTCAGGAAGCTGGGAATGGTTCTTCTCTAGCCAAACTTAAGAACAAGCTGAGAAGTGTGGAGCAGGTGCACAGAGATTGTGCTGCGACTCTCAGGGCTAAAGAAGCTGAATGGAGTTCTCAGGTGGAGAAATTGACTGCAGAAGTTGCCAAGTACCAGTTTGCACTGGAGAGCAGTGAAGCAGTGGTGAAAGAGCTCGAGATCGAACTGGAAAATTGTCGCTCAGCTTTACTGCAGATGAAGTTGCAGAATGAGGAGGCTGCCATAGCATTATTGGTGTTGAAATCAGGAGTAGCTGAGGCTCAATCCAACCTACGAAAGGCTGAAGCTGAGAATAGTTTCTATAACACAAAGAAAGTTGATGAAGTTTCTAGCTTGATGAAGCAGCTGGAGATGAAGGATGTTATCTTGGCTAAAGCACAGATGGAAATCGAAGAAGAGCGTAGAAAGGTTGAGTCTTTGCAGTTGAGAGTCGAGGACATCATCCCTATCGAAGAGCAGAAGCTTGTGCTGGAGAAAGAGGTTGCAAGGTACAGGGAGATGCTCGAGGCATCATCCGGATGCCATTTCCATTTCAAGGAACAAGCTTTGCAGGCAGAAAAAGATCTGCAGCAGAAAATTGAGACACTCTGCAATGAATTAGACATGGTGAATTCAGAATTGGTCCAGGAGCGTGAGAAGGTAGTTTCACTGTCTACAAAGGCCGAGGCCCTCGATCGTGTTGAAGAGAAGCTTCTGTTGCAAGAGAAGGAGCTCGAGAGACAAAAGCAAATGGTCGAGGAATCCTACAATCAACAACGTTGCTTGGAAGAGAAAGCTTTCCAAACTGAGACAAACTTGCAGGAGATGATAAGAGAAATATCTGATGCATTGGATGAAACAACTTCTGAATTGGCTGAAGAAAGGGAGAGAATTGAGTCCATCAGCCTTCTTGAAGAGCAGAAGCTAGGGTTGCAGAAGGAAGTGGAGAGGCATAAGAGAATGCTGGAGGAGTCACTGAAAGAGGTTACAAGGTACAGTGAGATGCTCGAGGAATCATCCGGATGCCATTTCCATTTCAAGGAACAAGCTTTGCAGTCAGAAAAGGATCTGCAGCAGAAAATAGAGGCACTCTGCAATGAATTGGACATGGTGAATTCAGAATTGGTCCAGGAGCGTGAGAAGGTAGTTTCACTGTCTACAAAGGCTGAGGCCCTCGATCGTGTTGAAGAGAAGCTTCTGTTGCAAGAGAAGGAACTCGAGAGACAAAAGCAAATGGTCGAGGAATCCTACAATCAACAACGCTGCTTTGAAGAGAAAGCTTTCCAAACTGAGACAAACTTGCAGGAGATGATAAGAGAAATATCTGATGCATTGGATGAAACAGCTTCTGAATTGGCTGAAGAAAGGGAGAGAATCGAGTCTGTCAGCGTTCTTGAAGAGCAGAAACTAGGGTTGCAGAAGGAAGTAGAGAGGCACATGGGAATGCTGGAGGAGTCACTGAAATCCCTGCACGACCTTCAAAAGGAAGCTATGTTAAAGGAGAATGGATTGAAGGACGAACTGAAAGAAGTCCGTGGTGCATTGGACAGTTTGAGTTCTGAATTGGCAGTGAAGATGTGCGAGGGAAATGCAGTTGAGTTTGAGTTGTGGATATGGAAGTCGATTGCTCAACGTCTAAATGACGATCTCGAAGAGAATCAAATGTTAAGGAAAGAGTTAGAAGCTTCTCTTCTTTCGCAAGTGGACATTACTGAAAATCTGAAGAGGCAGATTGAATTCTATGAACAGGAATCACTGAGAAGAGAACTTGAAGGCGCAGTGTTGACACACATGGTGGAAGAAAGAGGATTTAAGGATGCTGAAATGAAGGAGAAAATGGCAGCTGCTGACATCTATTGCTTGGAGAATAAACTGGAATCCCAAATGATGGAAATGAGAGAAGTACTGACGGCAATGGAGGGAAAGCTGAGAACTTCAGAAGCATTGGTTGATGAGCTGATGAATGAGAAGAGAGGTTTGAGTGAAGAAGTCCTGAAGCTGACAGCCGAAAGAGAAAATGTGCTGACTTTTCTCGTGCAGGTTGGTGACAGAATTAGTGAGTTCTCTGCAGAGGACATGCAATTGATGAAAATGCTAGAAAATATTGTTGTGGACTCTAGTGAAGGAGTAAAAGGAAGAGACGGTGGTGGGAAAGAGAACATTGATGAAGATCACCATCTTCCTTCCCCAACGATGATGAAACGATATGGAGCAGTTGTTGAAGAGAGATCGCCATTCAGGGAGCTCAACGGCTAGTTGTTTAAGATGTATTTGTTCCCACAGATTGGTACCGAGTGTTTTCTAATTTGTCAGGCGCGCATATATTACAAGTGTGCCTTGGTTGTTTGCTCGTTTATGTATGACATTTGTATGAGCCTCTTGTTCCTACTGCAATGAGAATATGCCACACTCGTCTGATTGATTCACCATATTATGAACGAAAGTACTGATGTAGCATGGTTGATGTTTATTGTTTGTGAAGAAAGAGCATTCTATTCTATTGTATAAAACATGAAGGGACAAAGACTCTAAACACTGTTTCATTTCTTGGCGTCTAGCGTCCAAGTATTGGAAACGCTCATTCCACGCACTTTCTTCTCCAGCCGTACTCTTATCCTTCTCAGGCTCAGCCTTACCCTCACTCCCTCAGTCCAGCAACAGCAAACACAGGCCATCGCCCATACTCCCTCAGTCAAGCATTCACCGGTCAGTGGTCGGTCATGTCTATCTCTTCATCGTTCTATTCTGCTATCCCCAATCCCACTCCCTTAACCCCTACTCACAGTCACAGGCTCGGAAAAAATTGCTTTCTTCTCGCCCAAATCGTCCTCTTCGGTTCCACCTCTCATTATTTTCTTTTGCTTCCTTTTTCCTGTAGCTCAACCAGTCACGACTCACGACCTCGCTTCCTATTTCCTTCGCTCTGTGCGGAGAAAATTGCTCCCTTCTTCATGCGTTGTAGCCTGGCGAAGAATGACCCTTGATTGTCGAGATGCAACCTTCTCCACGTTCCACCAACCATTTTTTCGGCTGCGGTGTGTCGTTCACTCTGGTGTCACGACAGAAGGACCACTCGCCGGTAGCAACCGAGAGACAATGTAAAGTTGAAGGTTTGGGGATGTTCGACGAGCCAGGGAGGATCTGCATCAGCGATAGCTGATGTATTGGTTTGCCCGGAAGGATTCCCGACGACGGTGGCGCAGAAGCTGTGGAAAAGAATTGGGGGATGGTCTTTTCAAAGGAAGTCGGGCTATTGCATCGGAGAGAAAGTCATTTGAAAGGCCACAGTGTGAATTGATCAGTGCCCAGTCGAAATCAGTTAAGGGTGGGCACCCTGGCCTTACTTTTAACTCTGTTCCAGGTAGATTTGTGTTGGTTACCTATATTATTTGTTCTTGATCCTGTCCTATTGGCTGAAGCTGTGCTTTCTTTGGCTTCTTTAGGCATACCCAACACACATTCGGTTTGTTCCAAACTTCATACCTCAAATCAACCTGTAAGTTTCATTCTTTAGCTATTTGATGGTATATATGTTTTGGCTTCCATGTTCTTCTGCCGTTGCCCTCTTAAGCAAAACCTAAGATAGTTTAAGCCTGCCATTGATTTCTTCTGCCCCCTGACATGAAAACGCTGCTTGGAGTTGGAACCTTACACCTGAATCACAGATCGCTTCACCATCCTAACATAATTGGCTTCAGGGAGATTCCTTTCCCAGCAATCACTCTCCAAATTGTTTTTTATTTTCTTTAATGCTATTTTGTACTACATCAGTGCTTTAATGGCCCTTTTCCCCTCTTTGGGGGTGTATGCTTTTGTAGCTGGTCCTGACTCCAACCCATCAGAGCTTCATAATCTGTTGATCCACTGTAATTTGCTTTCTAAATATGCCACCTCAGCATGATTAATTTGCTTCCTAAGACTTCGACGGAAGCAATTTTAGATCCGAAATCTCTTGATGCCACCTCATTTGTTTGTGGAAACTCAATACTCAGCATGATTAAGGTCCCCTACCCAAAGGAGTTTGATAGGATTTGATGAACTTTCTTGCATATGTAATAACCTGCTCAATGTATACAATTGTAGTCTCCAATTTAATATTCTGCTCAATGTAGCTTAAATGAGCTATAGGATTCTTTGCCTCATTAAGTTGTCACTCAAAAGTCTACTACACTCCTAAATATGAATTTGGAGCCTGAGTTAATAAATTTTGTTCTCTGTTTTCTTATTTACACACTAGCTGAACCACAGAATTTTGTTCGGGATGAAAAAAAGATCATTTTAGAAGTTTGTAAAATCATGCAATGTGCCCATGAGATGCCATAAAACATACAGAAATGTTTCTAAACATGCCATCCCAAATGGGAACTTTGTTTACATCCCTTTTCTCTTGAGTCTTTCTCATTAACCAGTTGTTGCATAGGTTTAGATAGCTGCAGGAAATTATTAATGGCATGTGTAGTATAGTTTATTTAGCCCAAAATCACTGTCGTTGAATTGTTTGTATATATCTCTGTCTCTTTCAGTTCAAAGATATTGTGGATCGTCTTTTGTTTTAGTGTTGCTGCACTTTCTTTCTGCTGGTGCATATGCACTTTCTTTCCCTGTTACTCTACAAGAATGCTAGAGTCTTCTCTGATGTTTGTGCACTTTCTTTGCTTTGTCATCTTCCTACTCATACATATATATTGTCCTGATATGGTTTACATAAAGTGGTATGTGTTCTCTTTGCTTCAGGCACTTGCCTGTAACCTATTGCTCATTTTTCTTTTATCTGTGAGCTAGAGAGTGTGTATAGCAGGGACCAAAGATTAAGCTAATCGAACACATAGTTGTGGTAATGGCCATTCAAGTTGGTTGGCCAGTTGATGATTTGGTTATGGCAGTGCAAGAGTAGCGTCCGCTGAATAAACAAGTACCTATGGACTATGGTGATGAGAATGCCATGGAGAATTTAATAATGATGGAGGAAGACGAGCTCAATAAGGACAAACTCAGGTAGAAACTCCTAAGGAGATTGAGAATGGTAATGAGATGAAACAAGTAACACCTGTTATGAAGATGAAGAAGAGAGTCAATTGAGCAACTGTTTTTATTCTTTTGTTGTCTTTGTTTAGTCCAACAATCAGATACCTGTTGCTGAACGAGAGGATGTGTTACCAATCCATAGGTGCATTGGTAAAGTTTTGGATGTTTAATGTGACTTCTTCCCAATTTTTTATTTTACTTTTAGGAAGTTTCCAGTAATATTGTTGTACTTGAGTTGTATACTTTGACGGAATTGATAAAGTTGATGTTAATTACAATGATCCTATGAAACAATTTCACACATTTTTAGCATAGTCAAAACTTTTAAATCCTCAAAGTTGCCAGTAGCACGACAACACCAGTTTGTCATTACCTAAATTAGCCACAATGCGATCATGTTGCCTGCGGGGGTATTCATTCTAGTTCTAGTTCTAGTTCTATATAACTGGTGGGTACGCTTTTTGCCCCAACTTTGTATCTACTGTTTCACTTCTTGGCTTTTAGTGAATTGTAGCCTGGCTCTTGCCTCTGCCTTTGCCAATCCCTTGCACTCACGAATGAAAAGAAAGCATCCCGTCCATGGCCTGTCAAAAGCAGAAGATAAGAAATGACTTCCCCAAGTACTAATGAACCACCTCACCCTTCAGCTTACCTCTGACATCTGACCATCGAAGCGAGAGAGGACGAGGGTCCGGATGGCGATTAGGCCGGCAAGAGATTGGATCGGCGAGGACGGGATCGATTTGAAACCAGAGGAGAGCGGGCGACGAGAAGGAAAAGGGCGTGGTTGACTATTTTCGTAACCTCCTCCTTCTCTGGATTACGAGGGTAACATGAACTCCCTTGGATCTCTCATCTCTCTCTATTTTTTTTTAAAGCATATCGCTTTATCATTTCTCTCTCTCATCGCTGACTACCGCCTCCACCATTGTCCGTGAACCACTTCTTCCATGTTTCCAGTGTGCCTAATTATGAGGAGATTGGGCTGATAACACCTCGACAACATCTAACACCGCATTTCCCCCCATCCCCACTCACCATTTGCAAATCACACTGCCTTTACAGGTTCGCAAGTTCCCAAAAGCTTTAATCATTCAGGTCATAATTTTCGTCTTTTACTCTGTTTCCTTGCATTTTAGCTTTGTTTTGCTCATGGTAGTTGTTACGCAACCTAATTTATTTATCTATTTCCTTAAGGTTTTGCAGCCGAGATTTTAACGTCAAGAGGCAAGCAGTACCAAGAAAAGGCATAAACATAGGGTTAGTAATCTTTTGGGCACTTTTTTGCCGGTTGAGAACAATTGAGTAGGGATGTCCCATCGTAGCAATGATTCACATCGTCCAAACTCGAAACACCAAAGGGTACACTTAGGGCTGTCAATTTGGTTTGGTTTGGTTAACCAAACCATTAAGTATGAAAAACCAAAAACCAAAAACCAAATCAGCAAAAACCAAAACCAAAACCATTAAGGTCCTTATTGGTTATTGGTAACCAATAACCAATAAGGACCTTAATGGTTTTGGTTTTGGTTTTTGGATAACCAAAAAACCAACATGTACTCATACACTCATATTTATTTCTATTTCCCTTCTTTTTATTGAATAAATGTCATAATAATAGTAAATGATAAAATGACCATTATAAATTATTGGTTGGCATGCATATCTAAAGAAACAATAAAAAAAATTCATGATAAATAATTTTATTATTATTATTTGTACATTCTTATAAAAAATAGTATATATATGGTTCACAATGAATCAAGGAAACATGTTATTGTTTTTCTTATTTTAAATGGATGCCATGGATTGAACAGAAACCCTTTTGAGAGTCTCTTTCAGGTCTGTGTCTTTGATACGAGTTAGGAAGGAAGGAAGTTAGTCTTAGCCATGGTTTTGGGGCTCGTATTTATGTCCCCTGTTGGTTGCTTTTATATAAGTTGTCACCTAATAACATTATACTACAAATGGTCTTACCAACATTTTATCCTTCCAGTAATACATTTAAGACTAATAACATCCACAATGTCAACTTTGGGTAACAATATTAAAAATCAAGCACTCCACCTTATCGGACTCTATATCCACACAAGTCTCATCATTCCCATCAGAATCCTCATCAAAATAAACTTCTTCGACTTGTGACCCAGTAGGACTCGAGATCGGAACATGACCAGAATGTGAGCTTCCACTAGGTTCTGCAGGTGCACTTGCACTTCGAGTTTGAAAAGCTGCAAATACTAGATAACATAAACAATAACTTGTTAGAATATGATTTCATTACAATAACAAATATAAGAATAAACATAAGTTCTTACCATTCTGAAATATAAGAATAAACATAAGTTCTTAGCATGAGGAGCAATCAGAGGACGGTTCAAACCCGTGCGAATTGGAATCAATGCATATATTAGCCAAGAAAGTTCAACCATAGATGTTCCAAGACACTGTTCCATATTAACCTGTCATCTAAGAAGGGAAAATTGTTCTGGATGATCACTGCTCTTATATGAGACATAATGAAAAGAGATCATTCTCATGAAGCACTTTACACGAAAGCAATCAGACCACACAAGACCGAACAAAACCAGCACCCAAGAGAGAATGCCAGAGAGAGAGAGAGAGAGAGAGAGAGAGAGAGAGAGAGATATATATACATTGCATTTGTAAAATGAACATACAAAACCATTGTCAACTTTACACACATACTTTTGTATCACACACTCACTCTTTGTTTGCATATGCAGACGGTAAGCAAGAATCGACAGTACCATTCTCTAGGTTTTGCTTCCTCTGGACTTACGGTGTCTAGATTTGTTTTCCATTTTTGCCAAGCCAAACGATGTTAGCGAACTAGGCTACAATCAAGGACAATCAATTTTCCCTGTCTGCTTTTGAAACAGAACAACTTCAAAGCAAGAACGACTTCTCGGTGATCCAGAAAGCAACCAGGAAATATAAAGAGAGTCACCACCCAGAAAAAGCCAGGGGAGCTTGAATGAAAGCCACAAACAGAGTCACCAGAAAATATGGCAGAAACGAAACCCAAATCCAAAAATCAACACATAAACCAAGCTTTAGCCAACAACCAAGCCCCATAAACGAAACCCAAATCCAAAAATCAACAAATCGAATAGGGGAATATAGATGCAAGCAAGCTATGTGAGGGACTCACTGAGATTCCATTGAACAAAGGCGGCAAGTTTAGAACAGAGTATGGAGTAGGAGAAGGAAAATGTCGCCGACAAATCAGCAAGTCACCGACGACCCAGAATATGCTCAAGCTGGACAATGCCCACCCATGGAGTTATTCGCCGACCCAGTTCCTCGAGCTAAGAATCAACGGCCACAAAGCAGCAACTCAGGTTTCCGCCTATGCCAAAGATAGCCGGCTTCAGAGCAACGAGAAGTTTCAGCAAATCGAGTTACATGGATAAAAAATGGTGTTGTGTAATTCACATGGTGCAGAACAACTAAAACTACTCCTCGTCCATACTTTCCCAGGATCACCGCCAACTTAATGCAAAGAAAGTGAGTGCCACTATTTAGCACTTGATGGAGGCACAACAAAACATCACCATCAAAGCTATTATCCCTACACAATCAGGTACAAGAAGGCATGGCATGGAAAGCAAAAGGTCATGGTTCACGTTTATGGCGATATGGACGACTCATACATCCTCCTTCCTAGACTGATTGCTACAATGGAGGAGTCTAACCCCAGGACTGTTTTCGTGCCGTGTTACAACAATGTAGAAAATGAGGACCAAGTACGGGTTCAAATGAGCTGATGTTTCATCGCCTATTTTGGTCATTCAAGCCATGCATTGATGGGTTCTCTTTTTGCCTTCCAGTTATCCAAGTCGATGGCACCTTCCTTTCTGAAAAGTACATAGAAGTTGCCATCTACTTGAATCACTAGAAGGAAGAAAGAGAACCCATCAGTGCATGGCTTGAATGATCAAAATAAGTGGTGAAACATCAGCTCATTTTGAACCCGTACTTGGTCCTCATTTTCTATATTGTTGTACTACGACACGAAAACAGTCTGATATGATCCAAATCCGAAGATAACCCTCGAACTCGGATTATATGACCAAAGTACGCAGCCTTCCTTCTTTTTACGGAATTTTCGAAGCTTTTCTTGACAACTTGAAAATAAAGGATAGATATGGAACACGATCAAACAGATTCCAACTCGTGTGAAAGGCCAATTGGTATATGAAACCAATCAAACAATCACCCACTCGTGAATAAGGCCAATCGCTATTGGGTAGAAGCTCGCCACAACTAGACGCATTCTCTAGTTGATAAGAGACACGTGAAACTCTTGGAGCACTCTCAACAAAAGCTTGCACAAAGAACTAGTTCGTATGAACTTGTAACTTGAAAGTTGATTGATAATTGAATGAGTTACAATGAGGAACTCAGCCTCTTATTTATATACTAGCTAACACAAATCCAAATCTTAAAATGAAAAACAAATCCTACAAGTAAAAGGAAAAAACACAATCCTTAAAAGACAAGTAAAAGGAAAACACAATCCTTAAAAGACAAGTAAAAGACTTGGTCAACAACTCTCTAGATTCTAGCCTTGCAATCCTCCCTCACATGGCTTGTGTTCACACCTGATATTCTTTTCACACTTGTATTCCCTTCACACCTTGTGTTCACACCATGGGAGATCTTCTTTCCTTCTACCAAGCCCATCTTCTCTTCATTCTAGTCCATAAATCGTAGCACTGTGATGGACTTTCCTTCTAGAAAGTCCACGTCCATCAAGAATGATCCCATTTGATCCTTGTATCGTCGTATTCGGGCCTTCATCTTTGGACCACGAGAATTATATATTCTGCCAATTGATTTCACTTCAACAAACTCGTAGGCCTTGCTTGCAACGACCTTTTCTTCCACCTTGAATGCTTCCAAGCTCTCTTTAAACCTCTTAAATCGTCTCTTGAACCATGGTCCATGTAGATATCTAGTTTGAGCTCGAGTGATGTCATGCGGGGTGAGTGAGGTCGCATCATTCCCTCTCTCTTGAAGAAGATTCGACCTCGAATCTTTATAGAACTTTGATCTCCAATCAGCACCACTCTTCTTGCTCTTCCAACAAAATTGTATTGGTGAGGATCGCATTATTCCCCCCTTCTTAAGAACAATTGGTCCACGAATGGCATAGATACCATTGTGATGAAAGCTCTCTACGTAACGTTGAATTTCTTCTTTCACCTCATCTGCCTCTTCTTCGACTTTCTCTTCTACTTCAAGTTTTGGTTCTTCTCGAGATGAAATGAAAGCTTGTGAATCCTCTTCACAAGTGACTATAGTAAGTCCATCAACAAGAACCTCTTCTTTCTCTTCCACGTCTTCTTTGACTTCCTCTTCGACTTTGGATTGAACTCTTTCTCCTTCTTCAAATTCTGTTGCATTTGAAGTTGATCCTCATAGATTTCATTGGGAGATAAAGGCTTCAATACGAACTTCTTACCTCTATGCGACCACTTGTACTTCTTGGTGACTTCATCTTGTTGTCCATTTCGATCAAACTGCCATGGTCTTCCAAGCAAAACATGAGCCTCTTCCATTGGCACCACATCACAAAGGACTTCATCTTTATAGCGTCCAATCTCAAACTTCAATATGGCTTGCTTGGTGACCTCAACTGATCCATCTTCATTAAGCCATTGAAGAGTGTAGGGTTTTGGATGTTTCAATGTGTTTAACCCCAATTTCTTCACCGAATATTCACTCACCAAATTAGTGCAACTCTTTCCATCAATCAAAACCGATAGTAGTTTACCATCCACTAAGCATCTCGTTTGAAATTTATTCTCCCTTTGCTCGAGATCTTGCTTTGAATTTGGACTCCCTATCGTCAAATGAGCTTCAGGTTGGATTATTGTTGCTGGCGCATTATTGCCCTTTAATCCTTGAAGAATAACTTCTGTCGTCTTGAGCATTTGCTTCATCGTTTCCACCAATCTTTGACCTTGCTCCATTATTGATTTTCAAAGGCTAACAAGAATCACAAAAACAAAAAACCAAACACAATTTTTTTCTTCTTTTTTTCACCACCTACAGCTTTGTGGCTGTATAACAATTTTTTTTTAATAAACTCACGTGAACAGTATCGAAAATAAACACTAATAAAATTAAACCTAAACAAAAACAATAACTTTTTTGTGTTTTTTTCTAATTTGTATTTCTTTTTTTCTCAATCTACCTTTTATAATGTTTTTTTTTTCTGGCTTTTCTAGAAATACCTCTTACAATAAAAAAAAGTACTGAAATTAAAATACCTCTTTTTTGCCGCTGAGTTTGAACCGGTAATCTTCTAATTTGCCACTGAGTTTGAACCGGGCTCTGATACCACTTGATGTGATCCAAATCCGAAGATAACCCTTGAACTCGGATTATATGACCAAAGTACGCAGCCTTCCTTCTTTTTACGGAATTTTCGAAGCTTTTCTTGACAACTTGAAAATAAAGGATAGATATGGAACACGATCAAACAGATTCCAACTCGTGTGAAAGGCCAATTGGTATATGAAACCAATCAAACAATCACCCACTCGTGAATAAGGCCAATCGCTATTGGGTAGAAGCTCGCCACAACTAGACGCGTTCTCTAGTTGATAAGAGACACGTGAAACTCTTGGAGCACTCTCAACAGAAGCTTGCACAAAGAACTAGTTCGTATGAACTTGTAACTTGAAAGTTGATTGATAATTGAATGAGTTACAATGAGGAACTCAGCCTCTTATTTATATACTAGCTAACACAAATCCAAATCTTAAAATGAAAAACAAATCCTACAAGTAAAAGGAAAAAACACAATCCTTAAAAGACAAGTAAAAGGAAAACACAATCCTTAAAAGACAAGTAAAAGACTTGGTCAACAACTCTCTAGATTCTAGCCTTGCAATCCTCCCTCACATGGCTTGTGTTCACACCTGATATTCTTTTCACACTTGTATTCCTTTCACACCTTGTGTTCACACCATGGGAGATCTTCTTTCCTTCTACCAAGCCCATCTTCTCTTCATTCTAGTCCATAAATCGTAGCACTGTGATGGACTTTCCTTCTAGAAAGTCCACGTCCATCAAGAATGATCCCATTTGATCCTTGTATCGTCGTATTCGGGCCTTCATCTTTGGACCACGAGAATTATATATTCTGCCAATTGATTTCACTTCAACAAACTCGTAGGCCTTGCTTGCAATGACCTTTTCTTCCACCTTGAATGCTTTCAAGCTCTCTTTAAACCTCTTAAATCGTCTCTTGAACCATGGTCCATGTAGATATCTAGTTTGAGCTCGAGTGATGTCATGCGGGGTGAGTGAGGTCGCATCACAGTCCCGAGGTTAGACTCCTCCATCGTAGCCATCAATCTAGTTAGGAGAGCTTATGAGTCATCCCAATCGCCATACACGTCATCCATAGCCTTTTGATTTTCATGTCATACCTTCTTGTACCTGACTGTGTAAGAATGACGATCTTTCACCTTGCCCATGATAGCTTTGATTGTGATATCTGGTTATGCCTAGAAAAGTGCTTAATAGTGCAACTCACTTTCTTTGCATTCAGTTGGCGGTGGTCCCGGGAAAGTATGGACGAGGAGAAGTTGTGGTTGTTCTCACTGTGCGAATTACCCAAGCACCCTTTTTCTTTATCCATGCAGCTTGAAGCTCCCACTGACATCCGCCTTTACCATTCTTGCATATGACATGGAGTTGTTTTTTGTCAGAAAATTTAAACTTTCACTCAAAATTTGTCACATGTCTTCTTCTCTAAAGCATCACCAACAACATCCTAGGTATGACAACTTCTTCATACATGACACCGCCTCCACTGATGTTTGAATATCGGTAAGTAATTTTACAAACTCTTATCCACTCCCATACAAATAAGCTATGCACAAATGTCATAGAGTTATTGCCACTTGAATCTAGTCTCAATTTTCAACCTACTGGATTGACCATCTTCATAACCGATCCCTTTGTGGGAGTTTATCACCCGACCATTCTACCGAATAAGAAGCTGGAACTTTTGAAATATACTCATGTCTGCAATTTAAAATAACTAACGATCACATAGAACATCCAAAACTATAATCCATCATACATTTAGCTTTAATCTGAATACTTAGCATAATTCGCACTAAGCATAATTAGTGAAGCACAAACACATATGACTACTTAAATATGACCATACTAAACAAATTCAGACATAGTTTATAATCAGAATGACGGAATGGAGTTCTGGTGCGGCCGTGGAATTTTCTGCAAGTATGGTGGAGAAGAGGGAAGTTTCTGCAAGTGTGGTGGAGAAGAGGAGAAATGAGAGTGAAATGGGATGGAAGGATCGCAATTTTATTTGTAATCAGATTGGACATTGATTGCTTTAGGGCAAAGCGATCACGTTCGACGAAAGCAATCATGTCAGGCCGCTACAAGTAAACCTATCCTCGTGGCGAATTATGATCGCAGATGAGTAAATTAAAATCACTGGTTACAAAAACGATTTAACGTTGATCGCTTTTGACTAAAGTGATTTATTGGATCGCTTCATTCGAACACGATCGTTATTCAATTTTCATTTTGATCGCTTTACATGAAAACGAGTTTGTTATCATCACTATTCTTTAATGCGATTTACCATTCATCGGACGATTTTAACGTAGATCGCTTACGTCCAACGCGATCATGTATAAACATGTGTACTTTAGAAAGAAAGAAAGAATAAAATCCATATTAGTTAAGAGAGGAGTGTCACGACCGTTGGAAAGAAGCTCATCGATAAGGCGGTGGTAAAACATGATCCCTTCTTCATTCACTCCCCCGCTGATCCTTCCAGCTACGGAGAGAAAAAAACAACAAAAGAAGAAGGAATTGGGTCACAAAAATGAATGAGAAATGAAACAGGGGGAAAAACAGAGTGAGTACTACTCTGTTCTGTTGGGATGAATAGCTTTGAAAAGCTATAATGAAATTCCTAATTAATTATCCAGTATTTTCCCATAATACATAAATAAGATGGATAATTAATAAAAGGAATATTATGGAGATAATTAGGAATAATTATCTTAATATATTATAATTTTAATTATGGGAGTAATTATCTCCCTAATTAAAATATGACTTATTCCCAAAGAAAGAGGGAATATTCTGGGTTTTCTGCTCCTATAAATAGGAGACGCCCCAGACCCTCTAAACACACCTCAGAGAGCAGAAACACGAGATAGAGCGTGAGTTCATAGAGCTCCGGTTTTCGCACAAAACCGATGAGCAACAAAATTAGAGTGGTTGTTTTATCCTGGAGGCGAACGACATTGTTAAAAATCGAACAGGAAAAATTAGGGTTACTGATCTGGCTGAGTCGCGGACTAGGTCGCTCTCTTTAAGACGTTCGCGGCACTGCCTTCATTGCGCATGGCAGACTATCAGCCGGTCGCCTCCAGGATAAAACAGCCACTCTAATTTTGTTACTCATCGGTTTTGTGCGAAAACCGGAGCTCTATGAACTCACTCTCTATCTCGTGTTTCTGCTCTCTGAGGTGTGTTTAGAGGGTCTAGGGCGTCTCCTATTTATAGGAGCAGAAAACCCAGAATATTCCCTCTTTCTTTGGGAATAAGTCATATTTTAATTAGGGAGATAATTACTCCCATAATTAAAATATAATCTATTATTCCTAATTATCTCCATAATATTCCTTTTATTAATTATCCATCTTATTTATGTATTATTGGAAAATACTGGATAATTAATTAGGAATTTCATTATAGTTTTTCAAAGCTATTCATCCCAACAATCCCCCACTTGAATAGTTTGAAACTATCTCTGAGCATCAACAGTTCCATAAGATCGGGCATAAGCTAAGGTATCGCGAAGATTTGAACCTTAGCGTAGTGGTTACACTTCCGATTTCATAAGGGTGACTCGTAGTCTTGAACCCTATCTCAGACAATGTAGCACACCGGATCTTTTCATTGAGTGATATTCTCTCATAGGCCGTGCGTTTATGGCCATACACGTTATCCCGGTTTAGTGAACGCTCTAGCAACTTTGTGCCTCCAAAGTTCCATAGGGAGCGGCCCCACTCCCACATTCACATAGGTGAGTCTATCAGAAGTACCCCCAAAGTAAAGTACTTCACTCCACATAGAGTATAGATCTCATTAAGAGTTTAACTCAACCTCCAAGGCTTTGGGATTCATGCTTCACTATGCATGAACTTTTCTCAATATTACTCATGACTTGTTATTACCCATTGAACCCGTTTCTTGGGATCTCCAGTCTATCGGGTCGGGTTACCATCACTTGTAATCCATGGTTCGGTAGGCATAAGTCTCATACCCTTCGTGGTATTTTGGACTTTCTCTCTAGATAATCCTTTCGTCAAAGGATCAGCTAGATTCTGTTAGGATCTTACAGGATCCACCCTCATTGCTCCTATCGTTAGGAGTTCTCTTACAGTACTGTGCTTACGACAAATTTGTCGTCTCTTTTCGTTCTAGAACCGGTTCCCTTCTTTAGTAATAGTTGCGGCGCTATCACAATGAATCAACTACCGGAGGGATCGGTCTTTCCCATAAGGGAATCTCTAGTAATGACCCTCTCAATCAACTTTTCTCTTTACTAGCCATCGCTAGCTCTATCATTTCTGATTTCTTAGTTGATTGAACCAGGATCGTTTACTTCTTAGACTTCCAAGACAAAGCTTCTCTATCGATGTTTAAAACACATCCTCTTGTTGTCTTGAAGTCCTCTATAGGGTATTCTAGTCCGCATCACTATACCCTACCAATACAGCAAGAAACCGTTGATAACATATATCAAGGTTTTTCTGTTCTTTTAAGGTGTCTCATGACCCCTTTCAATAGCATTTCAATGCTTCATACTAGGACAATCAGTAAGCCTGCCAAGTACCCCCACTATGTCGGGTCTCATGTTTATTAGCTGCCTCTCGCAAACTAGTATGTTCTTACTTTCTTACACCGTCTTAGGTGTTCTTTAAATATTTATACTAGCATCATCAAACATGTATGCAGATGTACATCTTGTATTTTCCTAGTTATTAGGATCTCTAAGCATAACATTTGTTTCAAACAGATCCTTCACATTCAAAATTCTCAACCATCATGGTTTTTCAATATTGACATCACAAGTCTTTGTACCAAAGATCGACGTGTCATTCATAATGCAAGTGTCATTCTCAAAATTGTACTAAATGCACTTGTCACTTTCACTTTTAAAACCATGCGAGAGAACCAGTTTAATCATGCCATCGTCTTAGAGTCTATTTCAAATCTTACAATGATTTGTCTAACTATAGACTCCCTAAGCATGTTCAGGAATAACAACCCTATAGGTTGTCCCATGTAGATTTTCCTATCTAAATCACCATTTACAGAAACATGTTTAACAATCCATCTGACGCACAACACTAGCAATCAGAACATACATGGATGTTATTCTACATATGGTGAATAGATAACGAGAAAATTTACAATTTTTCCTTTTCGCTTAAAGCCTTAGCTATTAGGCGATCCTTATACTCATAAACTAAACCAATAGGTTTCACTTTTATTATAAAAGTCCATTTATTACCCATGACTTCATTGCCAAGAGGTAATTCTCAAAAATGCCAAATCTTGTTTGATTCTATCGATATATTACCCCAAGGCTTTTCAACCAAGAGGTAACTCTACAAGATTTTAAGTCTTATTAGACTCCAATAATTCCATTTCGTTAATAATGGATTCTCCCACAATTCTGCATTTTTATGGAAGTTCGAACTTCTAGCAGACTTGTAGGATCTTTCTTTCTTAGGGTGTAAATAACAAATTCATAACCAAAATCCTTTCGTGATTTATGGTTCATTTGTCTCTTCTGAGTTCATACTCAGATTCATCACCCCCACTGGTTATCCATTATTTCTAATAGTAGGCAGGATATCACCCCCACTATTTCTTAATATAAATGGAATCTATTGGCATCAATGGTTTTCACAAACTAATGAGAACTTCGTTTCATAGGAACTATGTGTTTTTATTGATAGTCTGTCGTGCGCAATAAAGGCAGTGCCGCGAACGTCTTAAAGAGAGCGACCTAGTCCACGACTCAGCCAGATCGGTAACCCTAATTTTTCCTGTTCGGTTTCTAACAATTTTAAGACGTTGGTTGCTGTTATTTTTATCGAATAGAGTGTCGATTCTGGCTCATGTGAGATCGTGGATTCGTGAGCACAACTCTCCCGCTTCTTTTGTTTCTCTCGGCGAGATAGAGGGATATGACTAGGAGACTGCCGCTGTGATGCTGGGGCGGTCAGGAAGAAGAAGAACACGCTTTGCGAGGAGATTGGGGAATTTCCCTTCCAATTATACAATTTTATACCCTTTCGCGTTCTTTTATTGTTTACCCTACTGGTTGTGTCTGCGATGAAAAGAACAGGGGAGTTAGTGGCGGAGATCATGAAAGAGCAATCAAAAGCAGCCGCCTGATTGGAAAGGACAATCTAACCCTATCCGATTGCGAAATTTGGGACCAGCTTGAAAACTTCATCTGCAGCTTACTCGCAGTTGTACGAGCAAGAGAAGAAAAACACCATTAAATTATGCGAGGCTAGTGGTTGTTTTTGTCATGATCCGGGAAATTGATGGGAGCAATAATTAAACCTGCAGCTGGATATCAATTGCACCCCACAGCCGGTCTCCTCGCCGCTAGGTACAGCTCTTTTCTGATACGAATGGCGCTGAGCTAGGGGAAGCATAAGCATGTGTAGTAGAATTTTGCCCGCTAGCAACTGCAGGTTGAATTGTAAAAAAAAAAAAAACATATGTTGTTGCTTCCGTTGGCGAAGAAGAACAGGGAGCTGGGATTTGTGCTAAGCCCTTTGGTATCGACCGAATCATTTTGGTTGGTAGTACTACTCCGTACATAGCAACTCTGCAGGTCATTCATTATAATAATGTAGCCACAGCAAGTGTTGATAGTGCAGAAGTAACGATGAGTGTAAGAATCTATCAAGCCAAATAAGAAACTTGAGACCAATTGGCGACACTCGATCACTTCCCGGGCTCCTCCATGGTGGCAGATGAAATAAGAGGAAGTAGAAGGTATTTAGCACGCCAAAGAACGAGTAGGAGAAGCTGTTGGTGCTAAAGCATCTCGTTGTAAAACCAAAAGGCAATGACTTCTTGAACAGAGGTAAGAACTGAACCTTTCTCGTAAGTTATCATTGAATGGAAAAGTAGAATCTATTCCATATATCTCTATGCATACAATTGAGAAATTTTGAGAATGCTAGAATTGATGCATGATTATTGAGATGTGCTTTCCTCGATGATTAGAGTATAAATTTTAATGCATGCTACAGAAAAGAGTAATTTTGTTTACATGAGTGTGTGTGAAGAATATATGGGAATATAATGGGTTAAATGCCCCATAATAACGATATTGTAAGAAGTACTATATTTAGTACTACACGAACCACTTAGGCTGCTATGAAACATTAAAGTTTCAAGAATGAGAGCAGCAAGCCGAACCAGATCCATACCAAATAGAATGGTACCCTTTGTGGTAACCATAAGATTGTCACCCAATCCTCCAAGAATGACGCTATGTTCTCTGTTAAATGTGTGAGAAACTAGGTCATAAGACACGAAAGTGTAAGAACAAGTTTAACCTAGTGTTAACTTGACTAAATATGAGGATTTGGTGGTAATAATCACTGATGAGGTGATAGGCCTTAATGGTAACTCTGAAGAAAGTGGTTGGATATTAGCACCTCAAGGCATGTGTATGACAAAAAAGCTAAGCTCAATTATACATTGAGGTGTATTGAAGGGGGAAGTGTTGTTGGGCAAGACCCTCACCACTATTGTTGATAGTTCTGGGAAAGTGGAAAAGAACCCTACCTCTAGAAAGTCATTGACTTTCCGAGACGTAAGGAATGGTTAAGTAGATAAGATAAATTCTTTCAAGAGTGTCTTTGTGAAGAATTAGAATATCTTATTCCCATATTATTATTGGATGCTTGAGAAAAATATGAATTTTGTATATCCAAGCTAAAGGACCCATAAATATGTGATTAGAGAATCAGAATCAATAGATCTGATTTATGTTGATATGGGTAAAGTTGATGTAAAAGACAATAAATAATTGCTCTTTAGAGTGCTCTGACTGTCTGACTAGTTATTTGAAATGGTTTGAAATGCATAATTGCATTATGATTGCACTGATTATTCGAGATGTGGCATGCATGTGGTAGCGTTAGAGAATCAGTGTAACATGATAACTAGAAGAGCATATGAGTGTGTAAGTTATTGTAAAACACATAAGCCTATGAAACGAAATACTCATTAGTTTGTGAAAACCATTGATGTCAATAGATTCCATTTATATTAAGAAATAGTGGGGGTGATATCCTACCTACTATTAGAAATAATGGATAACTAGTGGGGGTGATGAATCTGAGTATGAACCCAGAAGAGACAAATAAACCATAAATCACGAAAGGATTTTGGTTATGAATTTGTTATTTACACCCTAAAAAAGAAAGATCCTACAAGTCTGCTTGAAGTTCGAACTTCCATAAAGATGCAGAATTGTGGGAGAATCCATTATTAACGAAATGGAATTATTGGAGTCTAATAAGACTTAAAATCTTGTAGAGTTACCTCTTGGTTGAAAAGCCTTGGGTAATATATCGATAGAATCCAACAAGATTTGGCATCTTTGAGAATTACCTCTTGGCAATGAAGTCATGGGTAATAAATGGATTCTTAAAAGAAAAGTGAAACCTATTGGTTTAGTTTATGAGTATAAGGATCGCCTAATAGCTAAGGCATTAAGCGAAAAAGGAAAAATTGTAAATTTTCTTGTTATCTATTCACCATATGTAGAATAACATCCATGTATGTTCTGATTGCTAGTGTTGTGCGTCAGATGGATTGTTAAACATGTTTCTGTGAATGGTGATTTAGATAGGAAAATCTACATGGGACAACCTATAGGATTGTTATTCCTGAACATGCTTTTAGAGTCTATGGTTACACAAATCATTGTAAGATTTGAAAATGACTCGAAAACAATTGCGTGAAAAATCAGATTCTCTCTCATGGTTTTAAGAATGACAAGTGCATTTAGTACAACTTTGAGAATGACACTTGCATTGTGAATGACACATAGATCTTTGGTACAAAGACTTGTGATGTCAATATTGAAAAACCATGATGGTTGAGAATTTTGAAAGTGAAGGATATAAATGAAACAAATGTTATGCTTAGAGATCCTAATAACTAGGAAAATACAAGATGTACACCTGCATACATGTTTGATGATGCTAGTATAAATATTTAAAGAACACCTAAGACGGTGTAAGAAAGTTGGAATGTACTAGCATTTACAGTCTGCGAGAGGCAGCTAATAAACATGAGACCCGATTTAGTGGGGGGTACTTGGCAGGCTTATTGATTGTCCTAGTATGAAGCATTGAAATGCTATTGAAAAGGGTCATGAGACACCTTAAGTGAACAGTAGGCATTGATATATGTTATCAACGGTTTCTTGCTGTATTGGTAGGGTATAGTGATGCGGATTAGAATACCCTATAGAGGACTCCAAGACAACAAGTGGATGTGTTTTAAACATCGATAGAGAAGCTATGTCTTGGAAGTCTAAGAAGTAAACGATCCTGGCTCAATCAACTAAGAAATCAGAAATGATAGAGCTAGCGATGGCTAGTAAAGAGAAAAGTTGATTGAGAGGGTCATTACTAGAGATTCCCTTATGGGAAAGACCGATCCCTCCGGTAGTTGATTCATTGTGATAGTGCCGCAGCTATTACTAAAGAAGGGAACCGGTTCTAGAACGAAAAGAGACGACAAATTTGTCGTAAGCACAGTACTGTAAGAGAACTCCTAACGATAGGAGCAATGAGGGTGGATCCTGTAAGGTCCTAACAGAATCTAGCTGATCCTTTGACGAATGTTAATCTAGAGAGAAAGTCCAAAGTACCGCCAAGGGTATGAGACTTATGCCTAGCGAACCACGGACTACAAGTGATGGTAACCCGACCCAATAGACTGGAGATCCCAAGAAATGGGTTCAATGGGTAATAACAAGTCATGAGTAGTATGCGAAAAGTTCATGCATAGTGAAGCATGAATCCCAAAGCCTTGGAGGTTGAGTTAAACTCTTAATGAGATCTATACTCTATGTGGAGTGAAGTACTTTACTTTGGGGGTACTTCTGATAGACTCACCTATGTGAATGTGGGAGTGGGGCCGCTCCCTATGGAACTTTGGAGGCACAAAGTTGCTAGAGCGTTCACTAAACCGGGATAACGTGCATGGCCATAAACGCACGGCCTATGAGAGAATATCACTCAATGAAAAGATCCGGTGTGCTACATTGTCTGAGATAGGGTTCAAGACTACGAGTCACCCTTATGAAATCGGAAGTGTAACCACTACGCTAAGGTTCAAATCTTCGCGATACCTTAGCTTATGCCCGATCTTATGGAACTGTTGATGCTCATAGATAGTTTCAAACTATTCAAGTGGAGGATTGTTGGGATGAATAGCTTTGAAAAGCTATAATGAAATTCCTAATTAATTATCCAGTATTTTCCCATAATACATAAATAAGATGGATAATTAATAAAAGGAATATTATGGAGATAATTAGGAATAATTATCTTAATATATTATAATTTTAATTATGGGAGTAATTATCTCCCTAATTAAAATATGACTTATTCCCAAAGAAAGAGGGAATATTCTGGGTTTTCTGCTCCTATAAATAGGAGACGCCCCAGACCCTCTAAACACACCTCAGAGAGCAGAAACACGAGATAGAGCGTGAGTTCATAGAGCTCCGGTTTTCGCACAAAACCGATGAGCAACAAAATTAGAGTGGTTGTTTTATCCTGGAGGCGACCGGCTGATAGTCTGTCGTGCGCAATAAAGGCAGTGCCGCGAACGTCTTAAAGAGAGCGACCTAGTCCACGACTCAGCCAGATCGGTAACCCTAATTTTTCCTGTTCGGTTTCTAACTTGTTCTACCGGGTAATACTCTAGACCATGAGATGGAGATCCTGAAAGCGTCCATATTCATGTCCTTTACGAGCTTGACGTCTTCCTACATGGTCGAAGGTTACTGAACAATCACGGAAACTTCAGAATTTCATTCCGGGTTAGGAGGGTTTAGCCTGGGTTCATACCTTATAGCGAAAATAGAAATCCACTCCTCTGTCTCCGTTGCTGCCATCATCTATCCTTCCTGGGTATTTGTTAGTGAAAGTGTCCCATATGCTTGGTCTCCTGCCATCAACATTTGCTGCTCCTTCATACTGATGAAATGTGGGAGCACTGTTCAAGCATAGGCTCTAACCGGGGAAAACAGAGGGATGTTGGTGGGCGAGTTAGCGGTGTACCTGGTAGGCGCTTGAGGCGGCTCCGAAGACGAATCCCGTCGGGAAACTGGTGCGGTTCAAACTATCAGTATCAGCTGCTGCTGATGAGACGACGACGATGGAGAAATGCGGATGATGATGATGATTAGTGGGTGCTACTAGGACTAGGAGGAACAAGAAAATGGCGAGACTGGGGCATTCCATTTGAGATTTCGATGATGATGAAGTTGTAGCTAGGACGGAGCAGTAGGTTTATTAAACAAAGAGAGAGAGGTAGTTAAGGCATCTGCTAGCTCGTGCTGGTAGTACAATATTCTTGAAGAATAATATAGCAGATATCTAAAATAGATTTTCAGTATAACTCTAAATTAGTAATATAATTAATTTTTTTATAAGATTGACATCATTTATTAGAAAAAAATAATTATAATTTAAAGAGTACAATGGATTGAAAAAAGGAACAGAGGTGCAGCCTTAGCATAAGGCTGAAACAATGGGAGGAAAGCAGAGCAGCTTTTACTACCTAACTGTAGACAATATGATTAAATTGGTGGTTTAGTAGTAGTGTGCTGCTTAGTTACTAATTACCATTAAGGGGCTTTATTTATTTATTTGGTGAAAGGAACCTTATTTTGGTATTTACAGGTTTGGCACAATGATGTAGGGTTGGTAAAGTGAGTTATTGTAGTATGCTTTAAAATTTGGTTTTAGAAGTATAAATTGAAATAGTACCATAATATAAGATGCACAAGTTCGGTTTGAATCATAAGAGAATTTGTATATTTATATTATGCTACAAATTCAGTTTGTTTCATAACATAAATGTACAAATTTATTTTGGACCATAAAAGAATTTGAAACTCGGGAATTCGTAAAACAAAAGAATTTGTACAAAATAAAGATATAGGTACAAACTGAAATTGTATCATAATGTTAAAAGTACAAGTTGATTTTGTAGCCTAAAGTTATTTTTGTAAACTAAAACACCTATACTATAAAACATTGTAAAATTCCTCTGCTAATCGTCATCTTGAAAATTGTTACATCTCGTTCTAATAAAAATCAAAGTTACTCTCTCATCCTTTTACATTTCATTCTCTTATTTTCACCAAATAAATACACCACCAACATAAAATAATATTTCTCTTAAATATTCAAGTAAATCATAGATATTCATATAAGTTCAATTTCCATTTAAAATTTTCAGAAATAGGAATTAATTTAAAATATAAAAAAGCAACCGGACCATGGTCAAACCGAAGTTAAACATTGGTCCGTCTATGATCCAACTAAAATCAAACTTTGGCTAGTCCATGTCCAAACCTGAAAATAGGTTTTGGTTCCGTATTCGATAGTCAAATCAAAGTTAAACTTTAGTCAGTCCAAGGCCAAATTGAAAATAGATTTCGGTCGCGTGTCTTCAGCCTCTTCCTCTGGTCTTCTTCTCCAGGTAGTCGGGATTGAATGATTAAAAGAGCAACTCAGCTAGAGAGAATATAAGGATCTAAGCTTCCCCGTACACATTCAACCCTCCTTGATCTCTTCATATCTATTTTAATTTTTGTACCTCCAAAGCTAGTCCACGACTTATGGACCCTCCACTGTTTTGGTGAATAAAATTGAGCACACATTCATTAAAAAAACAATTTTTTGTTGTGTAAAAAGGAATCGAGTTGTATTGGTGCAGCGGTGGTCGGATTTTTGCGCAGTGTTTGGTGCTGATCATGTTCCCGTCTGTTGTTACTTGCTTCGGTCTTCATTGTTTTTTGGTTGTTTTGGGATTCTTGTGCAGGCCGTTTTCCTGGCCTGTGTTGGTCGGATTTGTCGAGGTTCCCTGGCTGTTGCGTGCAAGGGAGGTCTGGTGTTTCTAGCACTTGCGCTGCTTTTTCTCTTCTTGTTTTTCCTTTTCTGTTGTTCTGCTTGTGATCACTCCCTGTTATCCCAGCTTGGATTGCTGTGTCCCTTGTTGGATTCTCTTTTAAGTTTCAGTAATATATCATCACCATTATAAAAAAATAATGAAAAATTGGTGCGACGGTGGTTGGAGGTGTGGGATAGGAAGGGAGCAGAGGTGGACGACCGGGCAGAGCCGACTGGCACGACGGATGGCGGGGTGGGGTTGTTTGGTTGGAAGTTTCCATTTCTAATGATAGATAATTAATTATTAAAGTTAGGACAACACTTAGCAATCTAGTTGTTTCAAAGTGTTTTACATGTTATGTTTTAGTCTAAAGTTACACTCTACATATCAAACTTTAAACTTTAATTGTCAATAATATTTAATATGACGTAGTGTTTAGAATTATAGCTAGTTCATGCATGTTCAGTCATAACTATATTCATATAGCAATCACTAGATGAATTTTCTTGCACCAATCAAGTTTCACAAATACCTAAAATACAAGGTAAAACTTAATGACTCTCGTGTAAATTCACACATTTTGTCACTTCTCATGAAACTAAGATTATTTTGGCTTCGATCAAATGATCAAAATGATTAGTATACGATACACTCAAACTCAATATCAAAAGTGTGTCAATCTTCTTGTCGTGTAAATTCACACATTTTATCACTTCTTATCGTGAAATCGAAATTATTTTTACTGTAATACGATCGCTTCTTGTCGTGTAAATCTTCACTTGCTTGCTAAAATGATAATCACAATCTTTCATTAATACACCTGTATTTTATTCCAATAATTCGAGATTGAAGATAAAAAAAATCCATATCGATGAAAACGCGAGAAAGAGATGGTGTATATTTGTTGTTTTGTTTCAAATATGTTAGGGTAAATACAATTTAATATCCAAACCTTTCATTTTAAACAATATAATAACCAAACCTTTTCGAAAACAATCTAATATCCAAATCGTCAACATTCCGTCCGTTTGACCGTTAGTTGACACTTCAAAAAAGCTTTGTTTAGGGGAAATTGTCAAAATACAGCTTTGTTTTCTTGTTTTGGCATTGAAGATGACTGAATATTTAGATATTCTATACCATCATGGTGGAGTCATGGACTTCTCGGGTTTGGAACCACGATATGTTGCTGGTTTTTCAGAGAAGATATCGATGGATATTGATGAAGTGTCGTACTTCGAACTTGATGAAGTGTCAACTAGGTCAAACGGACGGAAAGTTGACGATTTGGATATTAGATTGTTTTCGAAAAGGTTTGGCTATTATATTGTTTAAAATGAAAGGTTTGGATATTAAATTGTATTTACCCAATATGTTAAGAAGCATAAATTTTTAAAATAACAAATCCGATCACGAATACTATATCTATATCGACAATACCAGCACTTATAATTCATCAAAATATGATATTTTATACAAATACCGTATAAAAAATAACATGTATGGTATATGGTTTTGTGTGATGATTGAGTCCAAATAACAAGTTTGACAAATACTAAATTCAAACCACCCATAAGGATATTCTTATCGAACGTTGGAAACGGAAATGAGTGTACTTGGAGAATCAGTAGATGCATATATACCCGATGTCTCTGCTAAGAATCACATTATTAGTGATGGAAGACACAGTTACCCTTCATCAATTCCTTTTGCCTGCCTATAAAAAAGATAAGGGTATAACTGGAATATATAACAATTATTAGAGACAAAAATGAAATAAAATGATTGGTCCACATTCTCTCAAAAAGATCTCATCTTTTGGCTCAGATTGACAATCATTCATAATCAACTATTCATAATTATTGCAATTGTCCTATCAAAAGTTAAATGAATATATTGTGTTTAAAAATAAAACAAAAAGAAAAATTCTCATGATTATATGAATTGTCTAAACACATCACCCTAAAATTCCAACCTCCAAACCACCTCTTAATTTCTTTTATGCGATTTCACCGGTGCATTTTCCCCAATATATTATGGTTCCCAGAGAATGATTGGAGTAACAGAGAGCGAGAGAGGACACATCCTTCAGTTTGTTTTGTTAGTTTGGTGCTATTTCCCATTATGGTTTTTTCGATCCAAGGATATTACATAAAGTGAATAAATTTTGGATGGGATTAGAGATGAAAATCAAACTTATGGTCGTTGATTGAATATTCGATTGCTTTTGATCCAATCATTACGAAGTATTCCCGCTTTGATTGGTTATGAGGCGGGTATGGATATAATCCGCAAAATGTTTGATAGGTATGGGGCAGGTATTGGTTTAGCCTCCCCGTCCCATACCCATACTCATATCCGTTTCATCAGGAACATTTCTTCACATATAAAAATACATTGATTAACTTATAACATATCAATAATAGTGAGGGTAACTCAAGAAAATAAATAGTAGAAATGTAAATGGATGACCACCCAAATCAGACCTAATTTCTTCAATTCTCCATTCACTCTTTCATTTTTTTTCTCGTGTTAACAAGATTATCTTAGTTAGTTATTATTTAGTAGATGTATTATAGTAAGATAATAATGATTTGGATTATACAACATTCTATCTTATGGATAATGGATGTTTTAGGGTAAGATGCTTTAAACTGTATTAAGGATGATTGTCTCTTTGTCGACTTCATGATATAGTAGGTGCGTTTAGTGTTATAATTGAAAATGTACATATATAAAATTTTAGGTTTTATAATGTTGTATGTACGGGGCGGGTATTTACCCATGGGTTCCTGAAACCCACGAATATGGAGGATGGGTTTGCAAAACCTTCCCTGCATGAGTATGTGACGGGTATTGGTTTGAATATTTGAAAGCAGTTATATATATATAGTTTAGACAAACCCGTACCAAACCCGCTCATTATCATCCCGACTCTGGATTTTTGCTGATCTTACCGAATAAAAATGGTTAAAAAAATAACAGTTACAAACTTGGAACAAAAAAAAAGAGGATAGTGACTTAGCGAGGGATTTTGAGATAGCTCAGAGTCAGAGGGGCCAGCTATTCTACGGATTCCGCCCAAGAAATTAAAAAAAATAATAATAAGGGTAAGATGCCCTGCCTATTCTTTTCGTTAATTACTCTCAACTACTTCTTGGTTGGTAGGCTGGTATCTTCAACTACTTTCACGTGCCTATTAGTGTTTGCCGCATGCAGGTGAGTTTGGATTATATCAAGAGTCAAGACAAACAAACCTCCATCATTCACAAGTTTTTATAACCGGATGTAATTAAGTGCAATCTACCATCCAACTTTCATCCATAATCAATTTCTTCTGTGAAGTTCTCTGACAATCAATGAATCAGACAATAATCAACGATTGACTTAAACCATGCTCATTAGTCATTACTAGTAATACAACGGAGACCTATGGGAAAATTATGGCCCCGATTGGCCAGATAATCAGCACAAACAAACAGTGCCTTCTCTGTAGACGTGGTATATGAAAATTTCCCACTCTCGAGCCAGAAGGTCCCGGAGCCAAGAGATTTATGAACTAGAAAAATAGGATACAAATTGCTATACATAATTTAAACACTTTGGGTTCATCTAAACCTTATCAGATTTCAGAACTCACAATTTTGCATTGTGATCGAATCGAACTCTAGAATTGACAAAGGAGCGTAAATTCCAACCCACATATCCCCCACACGATTCTTACCTTCTTTCGCTTGCGACAACTGATTTTTATCATGACGACAATGAAGGGTGGGAATCCGATTCGGTAAACCCAATTCGAAACGAACCGAGATTTGTCCGAATCGAACGTGAAATATTGTTGTTCAGTTCGAATTCGGAAGGGAAATTGTTCTAATTTGGAAATCATGATCTAGTCGACTGAACCGAGTTTCCAAGTTCCAAACCGAGAAAGAGAAAGAGAAAAGTAACCCCCATGCTCCCTCTGTTGATATGACTTGAATCAGACTATCATCCACTATGACTAGAAGTCACGGGGATCTCGTTGTGTATGTGCCCAATGTTATTTGGGTTCGGGTTCTGAGCCTGGTTGTAACCGCTTTTCCTTTACCATATTGGATTAGGGTTAGATCTATGAGAAGTATTAAAAATACTTCTCATACTCGTCTGTAATCTGTATCTCCTCGAAATATAGTGAAACTAGCTCTCTCCTGCCCGTGTACTAGCTAACACACATTGTGTTAGTGAACCACGTAAATCATGTGTCGTATGCTTTTTGTTTTCTTTATTTCCACAGAAAATAGTTGTGACAAGTGTATCAGAGCGTCGTGTTGGAAATCGGTTTAGGGTTTCGATTATGAAGAATGACGTCGGTAAACATGAAGATCGAGAAGTTCAAGGGGAAGAACAGCTTCGTTGTATGGCACATCAAGATGCATGTTTTATTGAAACAACAAGGGCTGTGGGGGGCCACTGTCTGCGAAACAGAAGAAGGCAGCGGTCGATGACGATGAGTGGAATACCCTGGAGGAGAAGACCCACTCGACCATCATGCAATCGCTGTCTAATGACGTCATCATTAAATTCGTTGCCGAGAAGACTGCCACGGGCTTGTAGTTGAAGCTGGAGAGTCTGTACATCACTAAGTCTCTAACCAACAAGCTGCATCTCAAGCAACAGTTGTTCAACTTGAGGATGCAAGAAGGTACGCCTTAGAGGGAACATTTGGAACAAGTTAATTCTATTTTGTTGGATTTGCGGAATATAAATATTAAGATTGATTACAAAAATGTTTCCCTAATCCTGCTTGTTTCTTTGTCGAGTTCATATGAGAATTTCGTGGATTCTTTTATTGCTAGCAAAGATAGCTTGTTTATCATACAAGGATAAGAGGAACTTTCTATGGAGTGGCGATGGGGATAAGAGGAAAATTCCTCTGGTTGATTGGAAGGTTTGTAAATCATACAAGGATAAAGGGGCCATGGGTATTAGGGTTCTTTCCTCTTTTAATAGCGCAATGCTATGCAAATGGATCTGGAAATTCGGTGTTAACAGGAATGGATGGTGGAGAGGGCTTATTAACATAAAGTACCCTAACGAAAGATCTCAGTGGCGGTCGAGGTACATGTAGGGTAGACGATCAAGTTCGATATGGGCGAACATTGTGAAAGAGTCCGAGACTCTCTGGAATTATGCACAGATAGAACCCAGGAGTGGGGCTCATGTTTCCTTTTGGTTCAATCGATGGCTCCCGAATCTCTGCCTTGCTGATAATTTTCCTCGGGTTGCTGCTACGGCATCTCTCCTGGAGGCGAGGATCAACGATATCGTGAAGCTTTCAGGTGATTCTGTTTCTTTCAATTTAAACCTCGATTTTGATCTTCGAAGGGGGGCAGAACAAGAAAGGATTAACTTGATTTCTCTTCTCGGTTCTATTGACTTTACTGCTAGGGCTTTTAGTCCCTGCAAATTGTTATGGCTTCCGAATCCGGAAGCTGGATATTCAGTTCATTCTATGTATAGAACTTTAATGGAAAGCAAAAATCTCGGCGTTCCCAATTTCTCGGCGAATTCAGTGTGGAGAAAGATTGTACCTGCAAAGATTTGCTTCTTCATCTGGACAGTGGCACATCGCAAGATTTTGACGATTGATATGCTGCAAAAGCGAGGGTGGAGTCTCGCTAATCGATGTACGCTCTGCTGCAAAGACGAGGAGTCGATTCACCATCTTCTCATCAGCTGTAGCTTCACTCATCATGTGTGGAACCTGATAAGGAGGAGATGCAACCTCAACAACCTCCCTATTAGTGATGATATTGCTTTCACAATCAAGGAGTGGCCTTTGGATGTACCTAAATGTGGGGATGGTTGGCTTTGCTACTATGCTTTTCATGCAACCTGTTGGTTTATTTGGCTGGAGCGTAACAGCAGAATCTTCAGCGATATCATGAAAAGCCCGGATCAGATTGCTAGGAGAATCCTGATGAATGTTGCTGGATGGTTTGTTGCCAAAGAAAAAGTCGATCGTACCGCTACTGCTGCTTGGCTTAGAGCTCGTCTACAACTGATTGAATGATGGGTTTCCCTTTTCGGGTTGGGTGGTCTCCCCGTTTTGTTTCGTTTTCTTTTCTTCTTTTCCAGTCCTTCTGGTGGGCCTAGCTTTTCTCTTCCTTGTTTTTGTATGTTCTCCAATCATGACAACACTCCTTGTGCTCATGATTGTGTACTTTTTACATCCCTTTTAATCTCATTCACATCATAAAAAAAAAGATAGCTTGTCGTTGGAGGATGTCGATCCGCTCTTCACACGAGAGAGATCAGACATAATATAAATAATCAATTAATGTGTAAATATGAGTTAGATTTTTTATATCCTTTCTTGTGTTCTAGTTTCCTTTGACATTTTCATGGAACGTGTAATACTTTGTTCCCCGGTTCTAATATATGTTCCTATATGTTATTTTTGAAAATGAGGACAAAGAATTGGTAACCGATATATGTTACGTTAAAAGTTGAACGAAATTTTTCCCGTTTATTATTATTGTCCGTGTGGCAACATTATGCTAATTAGTATGTATTGTCCTTGTTTTATACCAATTTTAGCAGTTCAGATGATTAATTACTACATCATACGGTTATAAAATATGATGATCCTTCGATTGTCTAAAAACGGAACAACGGTTAATTATAAATTATTTAGAGGACACACAACCTGTTAGGAACTGAACAACAACAAGAACGAGGTTACCGAATCTGGAGCTGAGTCGTGGACTAGGTCTCTCTCTTTAAGACGTTCGCGGCTCTGCCCTCGATGCGCACGACAGACTATCAACCGGTCGTCTCCAGGATAAAACAGCTCCTCGAATGCTCAGCGGTTTTGTGCGAAAATCGGAGCTCTTCGAACACTCTCTCTATTGTGTTTATGCTCGTTGTGGTGTGTTTAGAGGGGCTGGGGAGGCGACTATTTATAGGAGCCGAACCCCTAGGAATATACCCTCTTGCTTGGGAATAAATCGGATTTAATTAAGGAAGATAATTACTTCCTTAATTAGAACCCGTCTGTAAGATAATTCCTGGAGGGTTATTCTTCGAATATTCCTTTTAATCGATAATCCTTAGAATATTCCTTTGAATAACCGATTAATAATTAATTATCTAATAATTAATTTCGTTCGTAATTTCTCCAAAAGATATATATAGTCTCAAGTGAACCAACCGACCGGTCGGACGGACGACGTGTGTGTGTGTGTGTGTGTGTGTTGTGGTCTGTTAGGTCCTCCCTCTCCCACAAAAGTGGGTCACCCCAAGGGGCATGCCCTTAGGAGAGAGGCTCCTATCTTTATACACATTTCACCAAGTAAAACTACCAATGTGATAGTTTTTCCACTTGAGACTCTATAGCTTTCAAGGCTATTCATACATTTCCTACAATCCCCCACTTGAATAGTTTTGAAACTATCTCTGAGCATTAACAGTTCCATAAGATCGGGCATAAGCTAAGCTATCATGAAGATTTGAACCTTAGCGTAGTGGTTACACTTCCGATTTCATAAGGGTGACTCGTAGTCTTGAACCCTATCTCAGATAGTGTAGCACACCATATCTTTTCATTGAGTTGTGTTCTCTTCTTAGCCCGTGCGTTTATGGCCATGCACGTTATCCTGGTTTAGTGAACGCTCTAGCAACTTTGTGCCTCCAAAGTTCCATAAGGAGCAGCCCCACTCCCACATTCACATAGGTGAGTATATTAGGAGTACCCCCAAAGTAAAGTACTCCACCCCACATAGGGTATGGATTTCATTAAGAGTTATTAACTCAAACTCCATTGCTTTGGGATTCATGCTTCACTATGCATGAACTTTTCGCATACTACTCATGACTTGTTATTACCCATTGAACCCATTTCTTGGGATCTCCAGTCTATTTGGTCGGGTTACCATCACTTGTAGTCTGTGGTTCGGTAGACATAAGTCCCATACCCTTGACGGTATTCTGGACTTTCTCTCTAGGTAATCCTTTCGTCAAAGGATCAACTAGATTTTGTTCGGATCTTATATGATCAACCCTCACTGCTCCTATCGTTAGGAGTTATCTTACAGTACTGTGCTTACGACGAATCTATCGTTTCTTTCCGTTATAGAACCGGTTCTCAACTTTAGCAATAGCTGCGGTACTATCACAATGGATCAAATAACCGGAGAGATCGGCCTTTCCCATAAGGGAATCTCTGACAACAATTCTCTCAACCAACTTGCTTCTTCACTAGCCGTTGCTAGTGCTATCATCTCTGATTCCATAGTTGATTGAGCTAGGATTGTTTGTTTCTTTGACTTCCAAGACACAGCTCCACCAGCGATGTTAAAAACATACCCGCTGGTTGCCTTGGAGTCATCTGATAGGGTATTCCAATCCGCATCACAATACCCTTCTAGTTAGCAGGAAACCTTTGATAGTGTATACCAAGGTTTGTTGTTCTCTTGAGGTATCTCATGACCCTCTCTATAGCATTCCAATGCTCTCTACTAGGACAACTGTTAAACCTGCCAAGCAATCCCATGACATATGCAATGTCTGGTCGAGTGTAATCCGCAGCATAACGGAGACTGCCAATGATGCTAGCATATTCTGATTGTCTTACACTGTGTCCAGTGTTCTTAAATAGCTTTACACTAGCATCATACAGAGTACACGCAGGTTTACAGTTGAAATAGTTATATTTCTTCAAGATCTTCTCTAAGTAGCTAGATTTATCTAGAGAATAATCATTTGATGTTCTAGTTATCTGGATCCCAAGCATAAACTTTGCTTCTCCCAGATCTTTCACCTCAAAGCTCTCTTTCAACAAGGTTTTTGCTTCATTGACCACGTGAATATTTGTACCAAATATTAACATGTCATCTACATACAAACATATGATAGTACAAGTGTTATTCTCTGACTTGTAGTAAATACACTTGTCACTTTCATTCACCTTAAAGCCATGTGAGAGAACGAGAGTGTCAAACTTCTCATGTCACTGTTTTGGAGCCTGTTTCAAACCATATAATGATTTGTCTAACTTACAGACTTTCGAGGCATGTTCGGGTATAACAAACCCTTCTGGTTGTTCCATATAGATTTCTTCATCCAGATCACCGTTCAAAAAAGCAGCCTTAATATCCATTTGGTGTACCACGAGATTGTTCAAGGAAGCAAGAGAAATCATGACACGAATGGATGTTATTCTAGATATTGGTGAATATGTATCAAAGAAATCTATATTCTCTCTCTGCCTGTAGCCCTTAACTACTAGGCGAGCTCGGAACCTTTCGATTGCACCATCAGGTTTTCGTTTCATTTTTGGAACCCATTTATTACCTAAGACTTCGCAGCCACGAGGTAAGTCTGTTAGATTCCAAGTCTTATTAGCTTCTAACGATTCCATTTCATCTATAACAGCCTCATTCCAAAAGTCTGCATCTATGGAAGTTAATGCTTCCTGCAAACTTTTTGGATCTTCGAGGGTGTATATTGTAGTAAAGTCATCACCAAAATCTTTAGAGATTCTAGCTCTTTTACTTCTTCTGAGTTCATCTTCAAATCCAACACCCCCACTAGTTCCGTTATCTCTAATAGCGTGTAGTACATTACCCCCACTATTTCTCATTTTAAATGGAAATCGTGTCTCAAAGAAATCAGCATCAATGGATTCTACTATAGTACGAGCATTCAAATCATAGAATCTATATGCCTTAGTATTGGCCGCATAGCCAACGAAGACACATTCATATGCTCGACTAGCTTACTTAATCCTCTTAGGATCCAGAATTCTTACGTAGGCCAAACAGCCCCACATTCTTAAATAGGACAGATTAGGTGGCATATTCTTCCCATTGGGTGATTCTTTTCTATTTGTTTTTGGAAGACGATTTAGCACATAGCAAACCGTCAACAAAATATCACCCCACCAAGAAGAAGCAGCTCCAGAATTGAGCATAATAGCCACAACTAATTCTGTAAATATCCTATTTTTCCGCTTGGCTTTACCATTCATTTCTGGTGAATATGGTGTCGTGGTTTCATGAATGATACCATGTGAGTAATAGAATTCCTTGAAGGGATTAGAGTCATACTCTAATCCTCTATCACTCCTAAGTATTTTTATCTTTCGATTGCACTGATTTTCAAATTCAACTACAAATACCTTGAACATATCAAGGGCTTCACTTTTGTTTTTCATCAAATAAACAAAGCAATAATCAGAGCAATCATCTATGAAAGTGATAAAGTATCTCTTGCCATACCTAGTTAACGTCCCATCTAGTTCACAAATATCAGGATGAATCAGATCTAAGGGTTTCTGATTCTCTACTAACATATTTATGGGGCGTTTCGTTATTTCAGCTTGGCTACAGAAATCACATTTATCAAATTCATTCATTGAGAGTTTAGGGATATGTCCTAGCTTGGTTAAATTCTTCACAATTCGTGTGTTCACATGACAAAGACGAGCATGCCAAACATTCAAATCACACACCATGTAAACTAAAGAATTCATCTCATTAATTTCGACATTCAACTTGAACATCCCATTACATGCATATCCTTTTCCCACAAAACTCCCATTCTTAGTAAGGGTATACAAGTCTGCCCCAATAGATTGATTAAACCCAGCCTTATTAAGAAGATATCCCGAAACAAGATTCTTCCTTATCTCTGGAGTGTGCAACACATCTTTGAGCACCACCTTCTTCCTAGAGGTGAAGTCCAGCTCCACTTCACCAGAACCAGCAACCATAGTGGTGTGAGTAGTCCCCAACATCACTTTCTTGTCAGCAGGTGCTTCTGTGTATGTTTTAAACATAGCACGATTGTTAAATACATGCTTCGATGCACCTGTATCCAGCCACCATCCTTCTGAGCCACCGGTGAGGTTCACTTCAGCGATCATATCAGTGATCATGGCTATCAAATCCTCTTCTGTCAAGTTAACCATGTTCGCAGCAGCAGGGTTTTGCTTGTTCCTCCATTTTTTTGCCATATGACCCGGTTTACCGCAGTTATAGCATATAAACGGTGGGTCATTCTTAGAGGTTTGAGCCATGACCCTTTGGTTACCTCGAGAGGAACCATTCTGGTGGGGGCGGACCTGCTGGTTCTTACTCTTAAACCCTTTCTGGTTAGGTTTAAGAGCTCTAGGGGTGGGTCATTTAGCAGTGACGACCATCACCTCTTCTTTCATATCCTGCTTGTGGGACTCTTCCTCAATCCTTAGGCGAGTAATCAAGTTTCCAGTGAAAATGCTTTGGTTTTATGTCTAAGCATATTCTTAAAATCTTTCCACGAAGGGGCAGGTTATCAATAATGCAAGCAACTTGAAATTGATCGTCCAGAGGCATACCTTCAGAGATGATCTCATGAGCTATTTTCTGAAGTTCGTGGGACTGAACTTCGACAGACTTGTTATCCACCATCTGGTAGCGTAGGTAGCGGCTGACCGCATACTTCTTAGTTCCAGCCTCCTCCGTGTCGTACTTCTTTTGAAGCGCATTCCAGATCATCATTGCGGTGTTCTTGGTGTCCGCATAGTAGTCGTAGAGATCGTCTTCCAGGCCGTTGAGGATGTCGTTCTTGCATAGGAAGTCATGCTCCCTTTCCTTAGCAGAAGCAGCCATCTCCTCATTGGTCGCTTCTTCCGACAGCTCGATGGGCATGCTGGTGAGGCAGTGTGTCAACTTCTTGGTCGTCAGGTAGAACTCTATCTTTTGTCTCAAACGACGGAAGTTGACTCCAACGAAAGGGTGTATTGATATCGACAGCACCAGATCCGAACATGTTGTTATGTTCAGTCAAAATAGCAGTAGCCGAACGTCTTAAAATTGTTAGGAACTGAACAACAACAAGAATGAGGTTACCAAATCTAGAGCAGAGTCGCGGACTAGGTCGCTCTCTTTAAGACGTTCGCGACACTGCCCTCGATGCGCACGACAAACTATCAACTGGTCGTCTCCAGGATAAAGCAACTCCTCGAATGCTCGGCGGTGTTATGCGAAAACCGGAGCTCTCCGAACAATCTCACTATTGTGTTTATGCTCGTTGTGGTGTGTTTAGAGGGGCTGGGTCGCGGACTAGGCCGCTCTCTTTAAGACGTTCGTGGCACTGCTCTCGATGCGCATGACATACTATCAACCGGTCGGCTCCATGATAAAACAGCTCCTCGAATGCTCGAGGGTTTTGTGCAAAAATCGGAGCTCTCCGAACACTCTCTCTATTGTGTTTATGCTCGTTGTGGTGTGTTTAGAGGGGCTGGGGAGGCGGCTATTTATAGGAGCCGAACCCCTAGGAATATACCCTCTTGTTTGGGGAATAAGTCGGATTTAATTAAGGAAGATAATTACTTCCTTAATTAGAACCCGCCTGTAAGATAATTCCTGGCGGGATTATTCTTCGAATATTCTTTTTAATCGATTATCCTTAGAATATTCCTTCGAATAACCGATTAATAATTAATTATCTAATAATTAATTTCGTTCGGAATTTCTCCAAAAAAATATATAAAGTCTCATGTGAACCAACCAAACAAACCAACCGGTCGGACGGAAATTAGGTCCTCCCTCACCCACAAAAGTGGATCACCCCAAGGAGCATACACTTAGGAAACAGGCTCCTATTTTTATACACATTTCACCAAGTAAAACTACCAATGTGCTAGTTTTCCACTTAAGACTCTATAATTTTCAAGGCTATTCATACATTTCCAACACAACCCACTAGAAATCAAATCTAAATAGAAGATTCATCGGCGTTGATTATCACTACAGTTCAAAATATTTACCAGTAGGGATGGCAATGGGTAGGGTCGGGTGCGGGTTTACCCTATACCAACTCCTAACCCGCCGGGTAGCCTTCTAAAATACCCGACCAAATAACCACCGGGTATGAAAATTATATAACCATACCCTACCCACTGGGTAATCACGAGTATTCGGGTAACCATGGGTACGAATCCTAAACTATGAACTTATACACATATATGCACATACATACTGTTGTCCATTAAAAGTTCTCAATACTTGTAACTGTTCTGGCTTCAACAATCCACACGAATAAAAACAGCAAACACATAATAATTGTTCTTGCTTCTACAATCCACACAAACATAATAATCGTCTATATCTTCATCATCAATAATGGTAGCTAAACTCAATTTCTCAAGCTAAACTAAATATCTCAAGGGAAATTGACCATTTGGTTAGCGGGGCGGGTATAACGGGGCGGGTATTATCGATTACCATACCCGTACCTTACCCTTTATTTTGAAACCGTGTATTACCCGTACCCGCCCCTTAACCCGTCAAAGCGGGTAATTACCCTCGTTGACCGGGTAGGGTCGGGTAGGATACCCATGATTACGGGTTGGATTGACATCCCTATTTACCAGTAATCCTCCACGCGGCTTGCCCACCCATACCATACATAGTAGGGGTGAACAAACATACCCGCAAACTGACCCACCCGTCCAAACCGACCCAACCCACCCGTATTTATCGCTAAAACAAAGATTTTGGGTTGGGTGAGGGTTTTGTTTTGTACAACCCGCCTCTTTTGGGTTGGGTTTGGATTTTGGATTACACAACCCGTAAAACTCGACCCAACCCGTGTTCCAACTATTGGTATGAGTTCGTATCTAAAAAATATTTATGTCGTATATAGCCATACTTATGAGAAAATTAAGATATTTCGCCATGTTTTTCTCTCATGGTCTCCCTAATCTAATGCATTATTCGACTTAAAGTTTAGACATAAATTGAATATAGTTATGATTCACGTAATCGTTTTTCTTGTGTACAACTTTAATAGAATAACATATTGTGGGTGCGTTTGTTTATAACCTTTTTAGCCTATTTCAACAAATATCGTAAAAAAACTAGACATATTTTGAAGTAAATCACATTTTATTAAAATTCAAACAACATTTGTGAATTTTGATACCTTTCACCACGGTTTATTCGTTTGAAATTTTAATTAGTTATAAAATATTTTTATGATGTAGCGACTTTTGCGCCTTTCCTCTTTCTGAATCGAGGCCCGGCTCGCGTCGTTCCAACAACCGGCGGGGAGGACAACATTTGTGAATTTTGATACCTTTCACCACGGTTTATTCGTTTGAAATTTTAATTAGTTATAAAATATTTTTATGATGTAGAATAATTATATATTTTATGTTGGGTTGAGTTTTTACTTAAAAATATCGCCAACCCGACCCAACCCAATTAGAAACAAACCGTAGGGTTTAAATTTTTTTTGCGTGAGTTTGGGTTTGATATTTTCCAAACCGTAGTGCATGGGTTGGGTGATAAAATGGCTAAACCCGGACCACCCTACACTCCTAATACATAGTACAAAGAGAAGAAAATCTTTCACATGGCGCCCACGTATCGGAATTTAAAAGTGAACTAATGATGAAGCATATGCATGTCAGCTGAAAAAGAAAGGAACGGCCCTACTAACTGCAATCCATCATCTTGCTTCTCCAAGTGGTGGTTTGTTGCACAGTTGCACTCCCCCAAAATGGAACAACAACTACTACTACTACATCTTCCACCACTTCCTCCGGCCGCCGCCGGCCGCCGTCTTGGCCTTGTTTTGGGCTGCTTGGTCCTCCTATTAGCCACCATTCCTTGCAATCATTGTCACCGGCATTTCCCGGTATCGGCGGAGGAAGGTGGGAATGTGAACCGCAGCAGTTTTCCGGCGGGCTTCGTGTTCGGAGCTGGCTCAAGTGCTTACCAGTACGAAGGCGCAGCAAATGTTGACGGGAGGGGCCCAAGTATCTGGGATGTTTTCACTAACAAATACCCAGGTCCGTACTCTATTAATCTCTGTGTAATTAAGTAATTAACCACTCGATTAATTTCTCCTATTTAATTACTGTCACTATCTTTTGTTGGCAATTGGCCAAGGACAGGAAGGATAGATGACGGCAACAATGGCGACAGAGGAGTGGATTTCTATTATCGCTATAAGGTAATTCTAGTTAATTAATCATTATAAGTTAAATACCCAATTAACAACTTTGGCATGACCATCCATCCATCATACCAGGAAGACATCAAACTCATAAAGGATGTGAATATGAATGGTTTCAGAATCTCCATCTCATGGTCTAGAATATTACCAAGTATGTAGATAAGTAATTACTCTGTTTCCCCTGTTTTCCATTTTGCATTTTGCTCTAAAGTATTCATCAAAATTGCCCTCCCCCCATATTGCTAATGAAGGTTTTTCAATCCTTTTATTATTTTAATTTCTACAGCTGGAAGGATTAGTGGAGGAGTGAATGAGAAAGGGATCATGTTCTATCACAACCTTATCGACGAGCTTCTTTCAAACGGTTTGTAACACTTTTCAGTATCAAAGTTGTAATTTCAGAATATTATGACTGTAACTCTAGTCAATAATGCTACTGATGAATGCAGGTATTGAGCCTTTTGTGACAATCTACCACTTTGATCTTCCCCAAGCTCTGGAAGAAGAGTACGGTGGCTTCTTAAGCCCGCGCATTGTGTACGTGAAGTGAAAAAAACAAACACGAATTCTTGCAAGAATATGTTAGTAAGAGTATGATCATTGATCAGTACATGTGACATTTACTAACACATTGCCTTGTATATATTTTTCGTGGCCAGTGACGATTACAAAGAATTTGCAGAGCTGTGTTTCAGAGAGTACGGTGGGAAAGTGAAGAAGTGGATCACAATCAACGAGCCATGGACGATCAGCATCTTCGGATACGAACAGGGGATTTTCGCCCCGGGCCGATGCTCCAACTGGGTCGACCCGGCCTGCCAGGCCGGAGACTCTGCTACTGAACCTTACATTGTTTCCCACCATGTCCTCCTTTCTCATGCCTCTGCCGTCAATCTTTACCGCAAAAAATTTCAGAAGCGGCAAAATGGGGAGATCGGGATAGTGCTGAATTGTTTCTGGATGTTGCCTTACTCGAACTCCACAGTCGATAAGGCGGCGGCAGAAAGAGCTGTCGATTTCGTCTTTGGCTGGTGAGTGAGCGTGAGTCCATTTCTGATTTAACGTTATCTCGGTTTCCTTGTGTTCTCATTTTTGCATTTGTTGGCAAAAGGCATATGGAACCCATAACCTACGGGAGGTATCCCAAGTCCATGGAAGCAAACGTTGGGGAGAGACTGCCAAATTTCACCAAGGAACAATCGTTGAGCTTGATTGGATCCTATGATTTTGTTGGGGTTAACTACTATTCTTCATTTTATGCTATAGAAAGCAAGATGGCCGACAAAACTAGGCTTAGATATCAGACGGATTCCCTAACCGAATGGAAGTGTAAGTATTTGGCATCAATTCTCAGTCTCTCCCATTTCAATTCGATGTTAACAAGCTTCTCTCTTCTCAAAAATTGCAGCGGAGAAAGATGGTATTCCGATTGGACCTCACGTAAGTACGATTGTTAGTTGTGTTTGTGTACTTATAATTTCAGGTTTCGCATGTTGTATTGAAGAGAAATTGTGGAATGCAGGGTGCATTGTTTTGGCTGAATGTGTATCCACAAGGAATTCGCGACGTCATGAACCATGTCAAACGCAAATACAACAATCCACCTACGTATATAACCGAAAACGGTACTGAAAATTCACATCACAGAAGCATGGAGGTGTCAACTTGGATGAATGAATATATCAACTTTCTGGATGCAGGGCTTGACGAAGAGGCAGAAGGAATTACAGTGGAAGAATCCCTCCATGATCCGAAGCGAACACAATACATCAAGACCCATCTTCTGCAACTTCAGAAAGCCATCAAGTGAGTGTGGATTGTGGAATGGCTAGCTAGCTAGCTAGATTAACATTCCTATACATAAAACATTTCGTTCATTTCACTGAATCCAGATCTGCTCTGCTTTCGTTGTTCGTTTGGCATTCTGGGTTTTTGATTCGTGCAGCGAGGACGGGGCAAACGTAAGAGGGTATTTTGCGTGGTCGTTTCTTGACAACTACGAGTGGTGTAATGGCTACGCGGTGAGGTTCGGGCTTCACTATGTTGATTATCAGAATGGGATGAGACGTGTCCCGAAGCACTCTGCCAACTGGTTTGCAGACTTCCTCCTCCATTCCAACCACAGTACCGCCGCCGCCGCCGACCGTCATCTCCGCCTCACGCAGCCTCAGGGATCCTCGTGCTCTTCCTAGCTTGTCATTCCGATGTATGTTTGGAAGCCCAACCGGTCTCAAATATTTCAGAAAGGAGGGAGGAAATGGGCGGCCGGCGAGGGTTTATCAACCAAAATGGGAAGAATTACACTCTTTGTTTACAACCCCCGGCTATATAATTAGTACATGAAATTAAAAAAAAACAAAACAAAACATTACAATTAACAAATATATCCCTAAACTATAAACATGTCCTCTCAGCAACATCCTACTACAACACTCCATGCATGCTCGTGTTAGAAACACACTTCTTGAACTTCTTTATCGTTTAATTTATGTTTGGGTGACTTCGGGTATTATTTGGTGGTTTTTGGGCATATTTAAGTTTAGTTATTTGATAATTTCTGTTAGAAGATATAAGTTTGGTAGTTAGTGTGAATTATTCGGGTTATATATTAGGTAATTAGTTGGTACTTTCTCATTAAACAAATAATGAACATAATTCACCAAACGCTAATTTCTCTATTTCGACCAAACCCTCCTCCTCTCTTCCTCAAGCTCGCCATCGGCCACCGCCCGGCCAGCCGGTTTCCTCCCTCTCCGACAACTCTCTTCCCCAATTCCCTGTTCTCAATCTCTAATCTATCTTTAATTCTCTATCGATCCTGATCTCAGAACTCTAGACAAAAGACACCAAGATCTGAGGTTACTTACAGTGGTAACAAAGTCTGATTGACGTATGAGTTAGCAGAAGAAGCGCGATGGAACAACCACCGTAGAAGAAGTAGCGGGATATCGAGACCGTGCAGCACATCACTCACAGTGAGGGTCTCCAAGAGAAGCTGAAGACAATGGAGGATCACCAAATCAACATTTATGTGCATATGGGAGAGGTGAACGAGACTCTCTAGGAGATAGCAATAAGGAACAACACGAGCTAAGATCGTTGATGGAGATGATGAAGATGGAGTTGGCATCGTAGGGGCTACTTGCGATGCCGGAGAAGACGACAGAGACGACATTGGAGGCAAGGACAACGTTGAACATGGTAATCGAGTTGGCGGCCAACAAACCGGGGTAAACGCAGGGAATGAAGGCCGGAGCTGAAGCTGAGGCGACCGGGGGCTCGACCTAGGTCACGAACCGAGACAACATGTGGCAAGCACAAGAGTGGCGACAATGGAACCCTTCCGCCGAGAGGGATGGTGCGTGCGGGCCAGGGTTTGGTCTGGCCAAACCCTGCTACGGGACTATTACCCACACCTATGGCCTAGGAGGTCGCAATGCTGCGTGAAAAGACCAAGATGTCCGGCTACGACTCGGTGGGCTGGGAGATTGGCTTTGGGCCACTGGGCCCAAAAGTTGGAAAGGAAAATCATATATTGGGTGGACATGGCCCGAGTTACATGCGGATCGACTGGGCAAGAGGGCGGAAGAGATGAGCCTGACATATCAGAGCAAGGAATGGGCCGAGTTTGACCCAAGAAGTGGGTCGCTGGGCCGAGATTACCATCCAACTAGATGAGTATAGGTTGAAGTGGAGCTTACCGAAGCAGGCAGACTAGGATTGGATGGACTAGACAGGGTCGAACAGAATCGGGCCTATTCGGGCCAGAGTCAAATTGGAAGAACCCAAATTAACCTAAAACGGGGGTGATTCAGACCGAATGAGCCAGTGGAAGAGTATGTGTGGCGCTTCTGAAACTGTGTACCCGCCTCTGACAACACCAAAAGCTTACCAGCATCGCTCAGACAGACAGTGGGAGGTGGGTCAAGGATCTGGAGCTGGGGAAGGAGGAATGAGTGATGGGAATTCGATATTCAGCCTATGAGGAGGTAGGACCGGTGCAGTAGAGAGGAAGGTCTTTGGGGCCGTCACGACATTGGCAAGTCATCGCTTATAAATCTATGTATGAGGGTGAGGATGAAATGGTTTTTAGAGATAAACCCCGAACATTGAGTTCCCAAAATTCAACGGTTTGGAGGATGTCAGACTTTGGATTTATGTTGCAGACAGGTGGTTTAAATACCAACCCACCAGATAGGAGAGTAAGGCGCATTTAACGTCTTTCTATTTATAGGGAGATGCCCTCCAGTGGTGGGAGTGCATGGTGCGGTTCTATGTAGAGGCAAAGATGTTGATCACATGGCCTTGCTTTAAAGAAGAGCGGTAGTACCAGTTCGGGAAGCCAGAGGGATGGGCGCCAGAACATATAGGTAAGCTGAGATAGTCTGGTATCGTGGTGTAGTTTTGATCAGAGTTTCTAAGGTTGGGAAACATGTATAAAGGTATCTTGGAGGAAAATCTAGTTGGTTTATATCTTGTAGGGTTGAGGTCGGAGTTAGCTGCAACTATGAGGGTGTTCGAACCTTGTTCCTAGAGGGTGGCCTTCTGATTGGTAGTGCGCAAGGAAGAAGAGGTGGCAAGCTAGAAGGGAAGCGTAGTGCGACGCGGTTCTTGAAAGCAGTTGGTGGAAGCATTGGAGCCAACAAGGCCTGCTGCAGCAATAACTCCTTCAGGCGGTCAGAGGGACCCGGGCTGCAACCTCGATGGTTCGTGAGGCTCACACCAGTGGAGATGGAGCATAAAAGTAGGGACGAATGATCTTTCAATTGCGACGAGAGGTAAACGTTAGGGCACCAGTGTGCTCAGGGACATTTGATGTTGCCGATGACACGTAGAATTGATTATTCTATACCTCCGTATTATGATCCAAAGTGCATTCATGTAATATCTTTATCGTCATAATACCTTGAATTCACACTATGAATGGTTCAAGTGTGTTTCATCAACCCTAAGATTGTTTTTACTTGTTTGATACACTTTTGGTAGCGTTCTGTGCATTTTCAAGTGAAAGCAGACTAATGGACCACTAGCCGAAGAAGACATCGAGATCCAGTTGTTGGAGCCGACACTCGAAGAGAATATGGGCTTATGGAAATGGATCCAAAATGGCGGCCCATGATCACAACTGGCGCCTCGGGTGCCGTTTGACATGGCCCCTCTACTTCATCGGAAAGTTACCTTGGAGCTTCCTGATTTGTTGACCACGAGTTTGGAGCTTTCTGATTGGCCGGGATGATGAAGTAGCTATGAGCTTTGCTCTCCAGAAAGTCTAATCAAAAGCCTATAAATATCCCTCTAGAGATAGAAATAGGAAGGAGGCGACAAGGGGTCAAGGAAGGGCCTTTACTCTCCGACAGAACGACTCACCTAATCTAGAGCGAAACCAACCAAGAGGGAGGAATTAAACTCTTTTGGGCCTTCATTCATCGATGGTTTGCTCATCATAAATAGCATTGCAGGGTTGGACGATGATAGGGCCCAGTCGTGCATGTCTCGTAGACAACATAATTTTTATGTGCCTATGGTTTGCATAAACTCGCATTTGAATTTTGGTATGTGGTTTCAGGAAACTATGTTCTATGAGCCACAACCTCTATCATGGCCAGGCCAAGCTACTCGAATTATGAGCATATGAATCTCGTTAACCATTCTTTTAATGGTGTTGTTTTATGTGAGGAGATGATTCACTTGCTCTCTTCGTTTACTATTTTATTTCTTTACAATAAAAATTACCAAGAATCAAGATAATCTAGTAAGTTTGCATGGATTCTAGTAACAGTCGAGGTAGATTTGTTCTTTTTCCCCTATTGTTTTGCTTGGGCAAATGAAGACATTATCCAACTTAAAGTGTGGGGTGGGTTTAGTAGACTGTGTTAGATGTTTTAACTATGCATTTTGGAGACATTTTGTGTGTGCATCATGCAAATATATATATAGAATTTTCAATAATGCCACACTCCCCTTCGCAATTCCAATCTCATCTTACTTTGAATTAATAGTCTCTACATTGAGACATGATCTATGAAGGATAGTTACTGGCTATGAAGGATGTCCTCGTCATGAGACTAAAGACCACCCGACATGTCTTGATACAGTTCATTCATGAGTTCTTAAACTCTTTTACTGTGTTTCTCTACTTAAAAAAGTTTTCATTGGGTGAATTGTATCTATATATACACGAAAATCTCACCTAACAAGTAAAATAAATAAAAACTGTCATAACAAATAAATTGTTAGGCAATAACTCATTGCATAGGGGGAATGAAAAATGTTCTAACGAGCATCAATTCGCAGCCGTACGAACTTCTTATTGAGCAAGATCCCCGCCAAGTGAAGTTTCATTTGAGAATTATTCTTAGAGGACACGAAGCTTTCAACACCTCTCTATAGCATTGACTCTCCATACACTGCAAGAATAAGGAGTTAAGCGAAACCCTTATGCAAGTGCTAAGTCGTAGAAATTGCTCTTGCTTGATCATAGTAGCTATGTACAGAAGTAGGCTGAGAAGGAAGATTATGGAGACTTACCCAAGCATCATCATTTAGGAAAGAGTGGCATTAAAATCAACCAGACAAACACATTCATTCATTAAAATCCTAAAATATCCATACATAGTAAACCCTAAAACTAGGGTTTGGGGTTTAGAACCCCTACTACCTTAGAGGATTACTCCACAAAGGAAGGAAGAAGATACATGGTAGAAATAGAAGAAGAATTGGGGTTGAAGAAGATGCCTCCTTGCTCCTAGCTCCTCCTTCATCTACTTCTCTTCTCCTTCCTTCAGGTTCTCTCTCTTTTCTCTCTAGAACTATAAAGTTTCTCTCAAAATGAGCTCTCTTCAAAAGGGGAAAGGGGTCTGGTATTTATAGGCATTCTGGATTCGGGAAAGTTCGCGGCCTGAGGTAAGGAGATCGCGGGTGGGATCTTTGGTCTCTGGACCGTGATCTCAAAACGCAGTCGTCGAGGCCTTTGGGAAGGGGAGGATCGTGGGTTGACTTCGCGGTCGCGATCCACTAGTCATGGCCGCGATTTTCCTCGCAGCCAAGTTGAACGTTGGTCATTACATGACTGTTGAGACTCTCTGTTTCTCCAAGGCTCCTTCCTCGCAAAGTTCGCATCCTGAGCCTCCAAGATCGCGGCCGCGATCTATAGATTCTGGGCCGCACTCTTCAGCTGGACTTCGTGGTTTGTGATCCCGGCCGTGATCTTCGACTTCTAGGCCACGATCTTCAATTCCTACCCCTTCTCTACACTTGTGACCTTGTTTTGTACCTAATTCGCACATATCGACTAATACACCCTAAGATCACATTGAAATCTAATAGGAACGCATTAGGGATTTGTTTGACGATGTTCAAGCATTTAAGCACTTGAATTGGCACAAAATATGCCTTGATATGTAGGGTAAATAACACCAATTTTGGTGTTATCAAACTCCCCCACACTTAGACGTTTATTTGTCCCCAAGCAAACCTACTCAAACCTTATGCAATATGATAGACAAATCAATGAGGTATGCATGCTAGTTCTTCATTGCATATATGAGAGTATACGGGGATGAATAAACGCTACTACCTTCCTACTGTGCGAACACAAACTCTCGTGTGAGTACCATATCTACTACCTTAAGCTGATCATAAAAAATGTGATCTGAGGGATTCTCAAACAACAAACAACTACTAGAGCTATTGGAGGTGCTTTTATTTTTTATTTTTCTTTTGATGTAGGAGTTTTCATTTTTTGGTGTCCTTTTTCTTCGTTCATGCACATTTCATCGAACTTTTGGAATTTTTTTCATTGCATAATAGCATCTCTCCCTCATGACCAAGAGCGGATCAATCATAGCCTTCCCTTTCAAGGTCAATGTGGGGAAGTTGATGGTCGGATTCATCTTAGCCTGAGCACCACGTCACAGCCTGCACTCCACATTTTATTGCCACATATGTGGGGTACAAACGAGAGCTATGAGGTCTCGTGAATCGCTAAAAGGTACCTTTGGTCCTTAGCATACGATTTTGTGAGAAGGAGAGGTGTTTGAGGGGTAGTAAGTAGTAAGAGATTCCCAGGACGTAATAAAATCCAAACCCCAAACACATCCTCGAAGGGCACTCCGAGCCAAGAAAACAATCCTTTGATGGTTGATCTCAATTCTTTACCCGATTTCCACTCACGTGAGAACCTATTTTCCTTTTCTTAAGCACAATTTGTAAGAGTTCATAGCTCACATAAAGAAGAGAATCCCTCACACAATGCCTTCCTAAGGTAGCAAACATTATCGACTCACAAAAGAGGAAGAAAATAGTAGAATCCCTCATGTACCGATACTCAAACTATGCAACTATCACCTAAGATGCACGACACATCAATCAATCTAATCAAGTCAAGTCAAAGCACATCGAGTAGCTAAGTGCAAGGACAAGGTGTTTTTGAACCCTCAAATTTGAAAAAATTTGGGGGTAACACTCAAGGTTCCAAAAACACTAAAATTTCACCATTCATTACCACAACATAAAAACGATTGCTAGCACACCCACCCATAAGTGTTTATCAACGTCTTACATTCACAAACAAGGGAGGATACTACCAATCAACGGTTCAACCAATCATGATAGACATTCAAACAAACACACAAACATCACCCCCCCCCCCCACCACGCACACACACACACACTTGAGCAACACATTGTCCTAAAGGTGAGAGTTTCCAAAGAAAATATCGTGAATGTTACCATAGATCGGGTTGTGGGTTGGTGAAGGTTCACAAATGTAGTCTTTGTCTTCCTGGTGGTTTTCACAATGATAATGCGCATAAGATAGAAAGGAAGACGAATAGGAGTTATAGGTACGATATATAAATAATAAGTACTACTACTTAGGGGTGAACAAACACACCCATCCAACCCGACCCGACCCACTCGTATGTATCGCTAAAACAAAGTTTTTGGGTTGGGTGAGGGTTTTATTTTGTACAACCCGCCTCTTTTGGATTGGGTTTGGATTTTGGATTACACAACCCGTAGAACCCTACCCAACCCGTGTTCCAACTATTAGTATGAGTTCGTATCTAAAAA